TACATTTTTATATGTTCTATATTTTATTATTTATTTAACGAAGAGTTGATTTCTTAAATTTAAACATTTTTAACTGTTATAGAAATATATTAAATAAAATAATTCAAGTTTATAAATAATTAAAAAATATTATAAAATAATCTTTAGTTTTTCCATACAATTGTTTATCAAACTAAATTTTTCAAAAAAAATATACAAGATAAAATTGCAAAGAGAGACATTTTATGACTGACAAATGTTCATCATAGAAAACCTCATTTCCAAAAAAATTAATTTTGAAAATCGAAAAAATATATATATTATTTTAAAAAGTAGTGATATTATTTTAATAACATATCACTACTTTAAAAAAAAATATATACAATATACCTCTAAAATAATGGAAGAGTTTATTTGAAGAAGGTTTATTTAAAGAGAAGAAAGTTTATTTGAAGAAGGGATTTTCAGATCGCGAGGATGGCTCCGTTTAGAACAAAATTATCTTAAAATGTCTTTCTTTGTTCTTTTCCACAATTTTATTTTACATATTTTTTTTAAAGACCTGGATTAGCAGACAACTGCATGGAAAAACTAAAATAAGACTGGTAATAACAATTATTAAAATAAGATTATGTTTAGTTGTGTATATAAACGATTATTGAATAAAACACTAATTTGATTTGTATATAAGCGCAAGAACAAACAGATAGAAAAAAAATTAATCGAGCGTCGAGCTAATGTTAAACGAAAAACTACTAATAATTATAACTGAAGAATTCTTTGTCGGTCTTATAAACGTATACGTCATCATTTAATTGTAAATTTCCAGAAATGAACGATGCGCAATAAACTCCTAAATGTGCTGTTTCTTCTTCTTTGTCTCTTATGTATAACTCGTGGGCAAAGACGGTCAAAAAACGTAGAGCAAAAGGTTTTATTAAATATCTGAAATTAAAGAAATAAAAACTACATATATTAATTGAGCATAGAGTAGCAACAGTACTAATGCGAAGAAACTAAAATCAAATAAATTTATTAATTTATATCTAAAAATATATTTTAATATGATCAGAAGATTTTTAGATCAATGAAATTGTTATACGGTTGATCAGATTTATTATAACCGTAAAATCCAAAATTTAGTAAAATTATTTTAGATCTGTAAGAGATTTGATTATAAAAATAAATCAGGAACATAATTAATATATGTATCTATGAGTGTAATTATTACCTCGGGACCGGTTTTATTACTCTGATGATTATATTTTTTATCTTGATCCATTCCCAGTCTTCCTCGCTATAAGGGATTGAGGATGCCGAAACAACAATATTTGGACGAATCAAATGATGTTCATCATTATGTATTATATCCTTTTGTAGTTTATCTAACGTAGATGTTGTCATGAGTACGCAACGTGTTACATTTGCGAACGCTTCCTAATGAAGAGAAATTACTTGGTTAAAATTACAGATATGCATACTATCTGTTGCTTGATACGATTAAATATGATTCAAATAAATTGCTAAGAACAAAAATTTGATGAATGACGTTGTTAATATATTTTTATAAATTCGACTCTTTAATTGCAAATCAGTTAATTATATTAGTTTATTTTCAAAAAATGCCCGTTTTTCTTAAAGAAGATGTTTATTTTTTGCTAGTAGTGTCTCATATAGCAATCTTATATCGGACTTGGAATTTATAAAATTAAAATAGTAAAGTCTCAAATTAATAAATAATACATGTAATAATAAAATAAACATAATTAAAAACATATATTAGTTACTGTCTTTTCTTCCGCTTTAGTTGAATATATCATGTTGTATTCCATCCAATTTTCTCTTATAAAATTTGGTTCTTCATGTAAAGGATTACAGTCTACTCTTTGAACTAAACGTAGATCAGAGGTTCCTAAATACCTACATACATTAATTTGTGGATATTTAATGTTCTTTATAAATAATATAAATGTTGAGCATTAAAATATATTAAAAATTGTTACATACTCGTTTATCCACTTGGCAGCTTTGGCGCCGCAATCTCTAAGTTTTGTGGGTGTGCCGCCATGCCATGATGAATAATAGAAGACTTTGCAATATTTTCTGGTTTGTTTATCTATTTCGATAATTAAACTGTCTATTCCTATACCGTTGAATTGCATGAACGTTTCGTTCACATTTATGTTTATCAAAACCAATTTCCAATAATTCGCAAAGTTTGCAATTGTTTTAGTCTTCTGATTGTATACTAGGAACATCCTAACAATGCATAATAAAAGTTTGATGTTACTTTTACTTTTACAAATTGTGTAATATAAACTCTTTTCATTACACTTTATAAAAGCACTTGCGTCCGCTATTGTGAATAAATATTGTATTAACATTTTAAATTATAATATTTTTTCTTTTTCTTACAAATCGTCATACACGAACTATCTGTTATCGATTTCAAGTATTGTACAAAAGCTACCGATGTTTGTTAACAAATACAATTATTAGTCTATTTCAGTCAATTTTTATAAGGAAAACAGATGTCTTTCTTGGATTTAACAATGAGTCAGTAAAGCGTCAAAGTCTTTCAAAAATTAAGTTAGACTTTAATTATATTTACGAAAATTAATAACAATGAATTTTAATAATAAATAACACTTTGAATCAATCATCAAATATATAAATATTATATTGAGTAATGTATTATACATTTTGAACAATAACCTCGTTATTTTACACTAACCCGTCCCAAATTTTTATATTCGGCATTTGTTGATTCCAGTTGACCATTCCATATTGATTACATCTGGTAGATGATATGCATACTTTTCCTCCCGATTTTAATGGATACATATACAACTGTGTAACATGACCAATTTTAACCCAATTTTTATCGAATAATTGTGGATAACCGTTAATATCTTGTACATTAACAGATTGCTTATTAACCAAAGTTTGGTCTGAAAAATTCTAAATTTGTTTTAAATTAATAACGTATTAGTTGGTTCTTTAGGATCTGTCTGTATTATTCTGTATGAGATATTTTAGCCTTTAATACAAAAATTTCTGTTATACATATATTATATTTTGCTACTTTCAAAGGATTTTTCAGTTTTCTATCTTTCTTTTATACATTTCTTTTTAATTTTAAATTATTTTTTATTTTTTGTTAAAAGTAGAATAAAAAAGAAAAGAAGTCTCTCAAAATGCTATAGTTAAACATTATTATTAAAATATGTCTTTAAAAAATAACAAACAATCTTCATTGCAAAATTATAAAAGTAAATTTTCTAATATTTGTATACATACACATAATATATTATATATTATCTTATTTTAAATTAGCTTTAATTATTTATTGCACTATATAAAAATTATTATTTCTAAAAATGTATTGACTACTTTGTTTTATAATATATATAAACAAGTTAAAAGAAAAAAATTTTAAATAAATAAACATGAAAAAATGGATTAAGTAGAAATATGATCTATACATACCTTGGACATTGTAACAGTTATTAAGAGGAAATATTAGATTTTATCAATATGTCAGTTTAATTTTAACCGTTCTGCTCTTCTAGTTTAAATTCTGATTTGTACTGTAAAATTATTGTATGTAATCTCACAAACATATAATATTAACAGGTTATGTTACAAGCAAAGTAAAAAATTTTTTCACTTTCTTTTAACGATCTTATTATATGATGATAATATCTTTTCGATCAGTCGAGTTTCCACAATAAATGTTTCCACAATAAATGTGATTTTCGTACTGGATGTTCGTCTTTGTTATTCTATTTTGTCTGTAATATTTTATTTTCCTAGGGGTTTTTCTTGCTGTTTATATTTTATAAGGCGGTCATACAAAGGTGAAGCACGTTTGATATCTCTGACAGTGAGATTTAGCTTACAGATATTACACTTATCTACATAAGTTATAACGGCTTGGCAATTATTTTATGAATATTTTAATCTAAACATCGATCTTTAAATGCATTTTACAGGATTTTACATTATTAGATCGTTTCTCGTTTAATAAAGCTTTTGTAATCGCCAATAAGTTATATCGATATCGTATGTATTCACAATATGTTTGCTACAGTGATAAACTCTCGTTAATTGTTTAAAATTTAAAAAAATCAAAATGTATTTATAAAATCTATGACTTGTGAGATTTTAGATTATTGCTAAATAATTTTTGCAATTTTAATTTTTATAAAATTTTTACATTTTTAGTAAAAAAAGGAGGAATCTTTTTGAAGAGATTTTCTTGTCTTTTAATAATGTGCTAATTAAACTAATAGGAACAGGTATTGAATCAAATAAATATAACTTATTACAAGAGATATGAATATTTATTACACGTTTTTATTGAACATTACATATGGAAGAAATAGCGATTTATAAAATCAATCTTTGTAAAAGTGGTAATTATTGTTACTATATTATAATAGAGCAACTTCTTTTTACTAAAACTTTTTTTCCACTTTATGAAAAAGAAAACATATATAGAATGGCTCGTTATTAATATTAAAATTGAGAATTGATTATTAATGAAAGCTTAAATAACAAATATCAAATATCCAAGATTAAAATATCAGACAATTTAGAGGTTCTATCAAGATAAGAACAAAAGTACGATTTTATATTTAAGGACAGAAACCTATCTTTTTCTAATACTACAAATTTGATTATAATACGGAAAAATTTATTTCAACAACTTTAATTAACAACTTATTATTAACATTACCAAGTTTGTTCCATCTCATATTGTTATGATCAATTGAATTTTTGAAATAATAATGGAAAGATTAAATTGCGATACTTTAGTTCTTAGCATTACTAATTACTTGTATAATTTGATGAATCATTTTTAGACTCTCAAGCTTTTTCCATATGAACAAATACGTCATCATTTACATTCACGTGTCCAAGAGAAGTTAAATATTGATATAGCAAGGACAGAGCTTATTAGACGCTCGCAGCGCTAAGAGCGTGGTTATGGAACGCAGCCTATATCATGAGTTAATTATGCACGACTAAACACTTCTGAAGGTTTACAGGCACAAACTCGTAATTGTAAACATTATCGATATTTCCTAAAAGTATTGATTTTAATGGTATCTTCAGATATATATTGACAAATGTTTTATGGAGAGAATTTCACATACACGTGAGTCTTTAGAGAACTGTTACTTATTTAGGTAGTAAGATCCAAAAGGTTCTGAACCAAGTCGAATACAAAGTCAGGTACTACTATGTCGGTTATCCCGACCCTAGGTTCTAGTTATGCTGTGTTTGAAATTTGGTACCTGCACTCTTATACTAATATGGTGGAGCCGAGACAAGATCGACCTATTGTTCCGTATTCTAAAATGCACGACAATGCGCCGCTGCATATTTCCGTTGCTGCAAAGGCTGTTTCAATCATATGGTTTTCAAGAACTAAATCGTTCGTCTTACAGCTCCGACTTAGCTCCTAGTTATTTTCTATTTTCAAAGTTGAGGTCTGATTTGCGTGGAAAAGAATTTACTTATATATAGATGAAGGATCTCCGCAGTGTTAAACCATTTTAAAGACAAAAATTTAGAATACTTTTTAAGTTGTATAGAAAAATTAATTCATCATTCTAAAAAATGTACTGAAACAGGGTAATTGTATTGATAAATAAAAATAGTTGTTTTATTTTATCACTATTTTCATGTTCTTGTGTTGGCAATTTTTAGACCTTATTACGAATGATATAGTTAACATAATTTAACAGCATTTTAATATTATAATTATATATTTTCTATTTAGCATAATACGATTATTCTAAAAAAATTATTCGTATAATACTCATAACAGAAAAGATACAATTTGTTTACCACTTTTCGATACAATGTTCAAAATTTAGTACGATATAAAGTATTCTAATAATGTGATGTATAAAATTACTAGTAAAAAATGCTACTCAATATTTATGCTATAAGTAATTATATTCCAATATGTTAACTAGGGGAGACCGGGGCTAAGCCGACACTATTTTTTTAAAGGCAATTTTTAATATTTAATTAAAATTTTTAGGCAAATTCAATGATATATATTTAAAGAGTGTTTCTTCAGGTGCAAAATTGATTCAGGAAGTTTTGCTGTACGTCGCTTTGTTTTGCCGCCAGGAAAGGAAAAGTGACGCGAAGACAAATTTTCGAATTGAAATATGACGGGGCGAACTCGACACCCCGCCGGGGCAAACTCAACACTTTGTTTAATCGACACAATTTGATCTGGAACTTATTTTTTTATTGTTTAAAAATAAAAATACATTGTTTATCAAATGAAAAGACATTGTGTATTAGAAACAAAAAGTCGGAATAAAGTAAACAATTATTTAAAATAATGAGAAAAAAAAAGATTAAACTTTTAATTATCTTTTTCTGAACTGTCTGAAAAACAATTTATACACGTAAACTCGCGATCAGATGTGCGCACACATTCGTCATGAGCCATACGGTTGCATAAGATGCATTGTTTGTTATTAGAAGCTAATGAAATGTTTTCCGAACACACGCAACAGATGTTCCTTAAATCGTCATCGAAATCGGACGAAACAATGACCTTTTTTGCGATAATGTCACTTTAGGTTAGTGTCGTCTTTGCCCCGGTGGCGTCGTGTCGACTTAGCCCCGAACGTCGTTTTTTACTTTTGTTACTCCAAAAATATATAAATTTTGAAAATATGCAAAAATTATTATCGGATTCGTATAAAGCATCGAATTTTCCATCAAAATCACTTACCGGTAGATTCGCAAGAGTAAAGCTCGATGAAAGAGTAGACATTTTCGAGAGATCAGAAAAATTACTTTTCACTATCAAAAACACTTATGTCGCGTTAAAAATTACACTATAACTCAGAATGTTACCAAATTCCGTTGATAATACTGGCACATAAAGACGCATTTACAGTAGCAAAGGCAAGTTTCTACGATAGATTTAAATTGGCAAAAAGCCTAGTGTCAAGTTCGCCCCGCTGTCGGCTTAACCCCGGTCTCCCCTATATGTATTTATAATAATTTGTAATTATTTGTAAATAACATTGCCGATTTGAGCAACTGATATTTTCATTGATTCGATAACTAATTTTCTATCAAAACATGAAAATTAGCTATCTTTGTGATTGGCAATACGTTGTGGATCATTATAGGCGGAAAATAGTTGATTTAAATTAGGCAGATAGTAGTCCGGGCAGGTATTATCTTCTTTTTGTGCCTGTTCCAGCGTTTCGTATCCCGTGCCGACAAAAAGCTTTATGAATCCGCACATCGAGGCAAACTTCATGTCCTGATTAGCCCTACGTTTATATTTCCGAATCAATAAAATATTTTTTTGCAGTATAAATTCAAAGATAAATTTATGGATGCGACATAATTTTAGTATATAAATTTTGAATAATTATATATAAAGATGAATTAAATTATAAAATTAAATAATTATGAAAATTTGAAGTAAACAGAAGCATATTTTGTCGTAATTTTTACTCACGTGTCACCGATGAACAAACATCTTTGTGGATCCGTCACGTTGCATTTGTCTAAAATATAATCTTTTAAATTTTGACTAGGTTTGCCACATGAAATTGGTTTTTTTCCGCTCTGCGTGCTGATAATGTTTATCAATGGTCCAGGACCTGAGGATGAGAAAACGTGATATTCTTATTTTCTTCTTCTATCAATTTAAAACAAAATTTAAATATACATTGATTCGTATAATTCTTTTCTCTGCTAAATACACTTATTGTATTTTATTTATAATTATACATCGATAATAATATAAATATTTCTGTAAAAAAAATTTTTATTGTTTAACAATACTTACCTAAGATTTTAATTTGAGGTGATACTTGTAACCATTCCTCTGTTATTCCTGTTATATACAGTACATCCTTACGTTGGAGGCATGATATAGCTAATGCTAGCTTTGAGTAATTGCAATTGACATCAAAATCAACAATAACAGCTTTGATGGATGGCCGATCCAACAATTGTTTTAAAGTTGCAACTGGATCTGTTTGGAAAACTTTTGGCTGCAAAATAGAAGTTAATCAGAATTGACAAAATAGACGGTTGACCAAAAAATGATCCTAGACAAATTAACTTCTACAATATTTTAGCGTTATTTGCATGAACTCGTTCTATTGAAAGAGTTTATAGAAAAGATGGGAGAACAATTTATTTATTTACTTATACTTACTTGCTCTGTTAATCGTATTCCTGCCTCTCTTAACATTTTCTGAGATATATCCGAAACGATAGCGAAAACTTCGTCACAAAAATTAATCTTTTTTAAGTACCAAATAATTAATTTTATGGGGTTGATTACGCGATCCTATATAATACAACTGATTAATAATGTTTTTAATGACATTGGTTTTAACATTTTGTAAATTATCTATGGTATTTTACGTTCTACACGTTGATATGTGTGACTAATTTTATGAAGAATTTATACATATATTGCTAAAATATAATAATTGACAGCTATTTTTTAAGTATTTATTATCAATTTATTTAAACAATACTATTTAAAAAAATATTTAGTATAAATTTTTACGCTTTGCATTGCGTAAGAATAGTCTCAGGATGGACAAATTAAATTATGACTATACATCTAACTTGAAACATTGATTTTAAACTACCAAAAAATCTGTAAATATTTGTTACTAATACTTTTTTCAAACTTTGCTTAATGGATTATTCATGAATCTTTGAAATAATTTATTTTAATTTATTTTTTCATCAAAATACTCTATTCTTTTCTTCCTCATTCTTATTCTCGTCTTTAAAAAAATTGATTAGGTGATATGAGAAGTGGTTTAAAACTATAATTTATATTTTTTTATAATTCCTATCACTAGAATATATAATTTAACTTTATAATTTTCTTTAACTATTTATGTGTTTATAATGTAAAGTGATAATAATATATAAACTAATCAAATATTTTATTAATACTAAAATATTTACCGAACTTAAATTTAAACCGGCATGTTGAGCACTTTCAGTATAATTTTCTAATGTCTTTGTACTATTATTCGTCACCAGATACACTTGTTTTTCTAGGTTTTGCAATTTCACTAAAGACTCAGAAGTACCCTCAATAGGTTTATTGAGTTGCCATAGAACTCCTAGAGAATGCATATTGTTAATGTTGCGAAATTATATTTATTTATAATTTATTTAATCTGAAAAAATGTGTTCACCAGGCATAGATATATATAACGATTATAACGATACTAAAATCCGATTACGGAAATTTATTTTGTGAAACTATTACATAGATCTACAAATATTTAGTATTTTTATATATTTTTGTAAAATATCTGATATTTTTATAAATGTATTATCAATTTTTTAAATATACCAATTGCATAATGTATCAGTATCGGTAGCTATATTTTCCATCAAAATTCTTAGTTTTCTAATTTTTAATTATTTTCTAAAAATCAATGGCTTATAAATTAACGTAAATACATTCTGAAACGTTTCTACAATTCGCACACACACAAATTTATTTAAACATTATAAAAAATAGAATTTTATTGCTCACCGTCGATGTCGCACATCACTGTGTCGAACGACATTAGAAACTCCCGCAATTGTTCAGCCGAGAACTTGGTAATATCCTTGGTTTTAGACATGATAGGTTGTCTTGTAAACTCGTTTGATCTTAAAGCACTAATCCAAGTGGCGGTCCTAATCCTATTCTGTCAACGATGCGAGACTTTCTGGACGGTCAAACTTTCAGAGGCTACTTTTAAGAACTGTCACACTATTTAACCGATGTATCGTGAACCTCTTGCAAATGGCAAGAATACGAGTTACAATACTGAGTGTTTTCGATAACATCTTTGACGACCAAGTCTATACGAACACTTATACAACTTTTGCGTTATTTATGTCTGCGATATGCGCGACGTAGATATATTCTTGACGTCACCAACGATAATCTCGCGAGCTTAGTCGAGTTATTACTTGCGCATGCTCCAACAGCGCATGCTGCGGAAGATGTGAATTGCTATAATGAACGAGAGGACACGTAGAAAGATCATAATAATGTGAGAGAAATATTGGATTTATTTATTATCATCTATCATTGGATCTATTTATTATCATTATATCAACAGCGTTATCAACAAATACATATATAATTTGATGATATATGTATCCATTGATAAAAATTATATTGATATAATGATAACAGCAAATCTCGTACATTCACAATGTTCTTCCAACATAAAATTTTTTACTTGTTAAATTTTTATAGCTCATAATACAATTGCTGATAATTTTTGCTGATAATTACTTGAAACGCAAATTTCCATATAAACGCAATATACATACATGCGTATACAAGAAAATATGTATACATATGTATCCCAGGTAGCACATACATGTTTCAAAAATGTTTTATAAGCATTTTTTTGAAACGTTTTATAACCGATTTCTAGAAACATTTCTCATGAGTAAAAATGTCTATTCAAAAAACGTTCAATGGAACATTTCTTTTCCGATAAAATAACGTTTAAAAACACTGAAAAAAAGGTTTGGTTATAATAACCTAAGGCTTGGTGAAATAGCTTCAACTAAAGGGTTTAGTGATTATGACGAAATATTTGGTTAATGTTAACAAATTTGGTTAATGTTAACAAATTCGGTTAACATTAACCAAATATTTCGTCATAATCACTAAACCCTTTAGTTGAAGCTATTTCACCAAGCCTTAGGTTATTCTAGCCAAACTTTTTTTCAGTGAAACTATTGTAGAAACAACCAAATGAGAATTTTAAATCGCCAGTGTATATTGAAAAAATCAGCGTAAGTGTCGTTTACTCGACCCAACTTGTCAAATTTATTTAAAAAACGCTACGTTTCGACCGTTATTTCGGTCCTTTTCAAGCGTATGGATACAAATTATTTATTAGTTTAGCATAATGCCTAAACTACGCCACATCTAAAAAATAATTTGTGCGTTGATATCCGAAGAATTAAAATATAAGTATGTACCGATAATGTCGACATTATCAGTCGACAATGTCACAGCTTTGACGAATCTTTCGACAATCGAACGACTAACGAATATGTCGTTCCAACATATACATACTTATATTTTAATTCTTCGGATATCAACGCACAAATTATTTTTTAGATGTGGCGTAGTTTGAGCATTATGCTGAACTAATAAATAATTTGTATCCATACGCTTGAAAAGGACCGAAATAACGGTCAAAACGTAGCGTTTTTTAAATAAATTTGGCCAGTTGGGTCGAGTAAACGACACTTACGCTGATTTTTTATTATAGAAACGTTTTATTTTAATGATACCCGAGTCAAAAAATACATTTAAAATTCCTATTCTTCACATCTTTTTAACGTGTTTATGACGTCTTTGAGACATGCGTGAGAATGTTCTAGAAGCTTTATGCATGTACCATCTATGACGTTAATTTTTTTTTCGAAGAAATTCCTGAACTGGTGCACATTCGTGCAATAAGTTAAAGTGAAACAAAATACTTGTCTCACTCTAACTTAATTGCATATTACTGATGTTTACCAGTTTAGGAAGTTCTTCAAAACGGAACACACGTATAAATGTTTTTTCAATTGCCACGTTTATTTTCCAACTGCTGGAAGTTTTCTAAGCTCAGATTTGTCCGATGACAAATAGATTAAGACCGGTAGGACAAAATTAATTTAAGTAAATATTTCTGACATAATGCCTTATTTTGACTTTTGAACGCTGACAGTATCTAAACAGTTGATTATTATGAATCTTGCCCATTGTGACTTTTGATCAGCATCACAGGACTATTTATTTGCAAAGTTTCAGCTAATTTCACCAAAACCCAATTACTATAAGGATATGGCGGGTTTTTATTAACGCAAATTCAATGTTAAAACAATCATCAATGTTCAGCTTAAAAAATATCGATATAGTATTTAATACTATCTCTGCTGCTTTTGAAATTATTGACATTACTAACATAGAATTTTAATAGAAAAATAACTTCCTCCGCTAGTGTTTAAAAACCAAAATTATTCCTTTATTCTCAACTAACTGGCAGGAATGTGAATGGTATGCACTGTGTTTCGACTCTGAGTTTGAGTCCTTGACAGGTGCAGTCTAATCATCAATATATCAATATAATTGATTACCACATGACGAGTCAATTTTGATGATTGTACTGCATTTGATGGGGACTCAAGCCTGGAGTTGAAACGTGTATTTTTACGTTTGTATTTTTAACAGTTGGTCGAGAATAAAGGAATAGAAATTTTAAATTTTAAATTGTTTTGGAGAATTTAAAGATCTTCGCACAAAGAACCGATGTCGTAATACATCCGCCGTTTTGCAGCGATGTATCTTAAAACTGACATGCATAAGCAGGGACACGATCTATGTAAATCAGTATAGAAAGCCGTAAGGTGAAAATTATATATTAGGTCAAAATGGTTTACATAGATTACAAACGATAATAATAAATTTTCATGAAAATTGACCTGCTGTATCTTAGATACTTCTAATTATAAATAATTTAAAAAATTATTTGCAAATAATTTCAATCGTAGCTCATACAATACTAGCATGCAACTTACCTTTCATCTTTTTACTTCTTCATCCCTCGATTTCTTGAGTCATGTTCTGGTGATAAAATATTAGGCGTAAATAACAATCGAACGCCTTTGGGTTAATAGAATTTCAATTTATTAAGTTTCTCTTTTCCCTAGCCCTCAGTGTGTCTTGATTCTCATTTACAAAGGTATTATATAGCTGTAGTGATAGTAACTAATAATCGGTAATAATAATCGTAATCATAATAATCGGTAATCGATAATAATAATGACAAGTAATAATAATAGCAATCAATGGCGATACATTAATATGGACAATCGCATCATACGTTTAATCATCGTTCTCGTCGTCTTTCGACGTATGGAAATCATCATCAATTTCGTCCGCTCGCTCGGGCTCTTGACGAATAAAAAAAAAAGGATATCTTACGTATTCACAGCGATAAAAGTGAAATGACTAAGTGACAAATTTGTTTATCCATAACCCTGACTAGACAAGAGATGAACCCCATTATATTCCTACACGGCGCGATTCGCCGCACAGCAATTCGTAGGCTATCGGGTTAACATTGTACACGTACATAGAAACATTCGTCGCGCAATAAGCGTGGAAGCGTGGAGAACGTCGCCGTAATTGACGGATAATGCATTCTGTAAATTATACTTTGGATATTCTTATTACTTAATAAAATATCCCATGCAAAAAACGAGTCTTTATTGATATATTTCTAGAAGTGACCATATATTAATAGTTAATAATATTATATTAAATTATTCAAAAGAAAAATTAAAAATAATGAAGTTAGAATATTGTCTTAAGTCTTTTTAAATTATTAGGGGACAAAATCAATATGTATCACGTGCATAAATAACATATTGTATAATCAAAAGCGATTATAATGTGGAAATATTATTAATTCTGATATGTCGTACTTAATCACTAAGAAATAGCGCACATATTTGTACACTGAGAGAACAGTATATTAATAGTTAATATACATGCTTTGTCGTTAATGTAAGAATTTTTGGTAATTATGCAGTTTAGGGGATGCACCTCCGATGACCTTGACCTTGACATATGTTGTCAAGGTCACCCTCCTGAGTGACCTTCAGAAGGTTTTAGCCGTCGCTCGTATCTTATTAAAAAGTTATTAACAAAAAAAAGTTTGGCGACCTCACCGATTTCAATGACCTTGATATATGTTGTCAAGGTCATGACCCCGAGTGGCCTTCAGAAGGTTTTAGCCGTCGCTCGCTATCGTTAAAAAGTTATTAACAAAAAAAGTTTGGAAAATATAGCATATATAGGTGCATATATAGGTTAGTTGACGCGCTTTAAACACTTAAATACTTTTAAAGCGCGTCAACTAACCTATGTAGGTTAGTGATTAACGATTTACTGCTTTAAATGTTGTGTTTTGGTAAAGCAGCAACTTTTTCGCAAAATAAAGTATTCTCTGCTTTAACAAAAAGACTTCAATTTATCAACAATTTACTGCTTTAAATGTTGTGTTTTGGTAAAGCAGCGACTTTCTCGCAAAATAAAGTATTCTCTGCTTTAAAGAAAAACGTAATATTAGTCGTTTATGCCTCTCAGTACTTAAAATAACTGCTATATTTTCGAAACTTTTTTTGTTTATAACTTTTTAATAAAAAACGAGCGACGGCTAAAACCTTCTGAAGGTCACTCAGGAGGGGGACCTTGACAACATATGTCAAGGTCAAGGTCATCGGAGGTGCTTCCCCTAAACTGCATAATTACCGAATTTTTTATGTCCGTCCCTAATAAATATTTCTTCATAATTAATATATGCTATATTGCGTATCACTGAATATAACTACATTTATCAGTATAAAAATAATATTACTGCATACCGCAGTTCGTGCTTTATTAATAATAAAGATTATTAGTAATAATATAACATTGACTTTTTTTGTCATAAATAAATGTATGTTTGCGTAAAATATTTTATCAATTTCGACAAATGAAATAATTTATTTGAGATTATTGATTATACATATATTAATAATTAATATAAATTTGTTAATTACAAAGACATTACATTTAATATACATAGAATTTCATATAAATTGATGGTATTTTTACTATACAGTTACGTATATTATTATTAAATATTACGAATTTACATTGACATTTGTATATTTCTGACAAAGATATCAAGTCTAAACTCATGGTATATTAATAATTAAAAAAGTATTTCTCTCAGTGTAATCGGTAAAACGGTAACGATAAAATAAAAATTAAATTGAAAAGTAGCGTTGAATTTAAATCAGCGATCATTTTTGTTTCCATCAATTGGCGACGATTACGACACGCTTTTTCACAAAACTACGATTTCCAATATTTTGTGAATCCACAATTTATATATCTTTCATAAATTACCTCCCCAGCGTGCGTCAAGCCCGATAATTGTTTTATGTAAATGCAATTTGTAACATCCCAAGCCGGCCAAGGACATTTTGTTTGCCCGAAGAGACTCGTGCGACATAGGGAGAGATGGGAGAAGGGAGGAGGCTTGAGATCGGTTAACTCTGATAAAGCCTTTCATTGATGATATGACGGACAATTTGACGGACAATTGTCGACAAGGTCGACCATCAACTGGCCGACAAATTCATGTTACTCATGTGAGCGTAAGAATCATTTCGTCACGTAATCGCAAATTATATGAATATCGCATTATTCTTGAATCTCGATAACGAACAACATTTTTGTTATGTACAAATTATCAACATTATCTTTAATTAAATAATTTAATTTAAGATTAATAAACTATAATTATTGATGACAGTTTAATTTAATTTTGGTTTCAATTATACGGAAAATTATTAATCTAACTCTTACGAAATTATTTATACTCTTAATTTTCTTTAAGCAAACTTTCCTATTATATTTCCAGCATAATGTTAAATTTATCGAGACATTTTCGAATGACGTCAGCTTTTTTCTCTTTCTCTTGCCGACATTATCGAGTTAAAGTGCATCTGTATAAGAGTGACATAGTTTCTTTCTGAGTATATCTTCGCTTTGTTTTTATTTATATGATTATCCATAATAATCATGATTATAGGTAATCGTCGCGATGGTCGTATAAAGATGACAACAATACATATTTTGATATAGTACAGACTAGAACACAACAATGCGCGCACCATTTGTTCTTGGGGGTTCGCATGACATATTTTTCTCAATATTTAAATAAAAATATGTATTATTAATCTAAATATATTACATTATATATCCCTATAATGGAACGATCGGTCAAAAATTTAACATTGACTTACTCAAAACTTGTACTGAATATATTGATCTTCGCAGTTGAGTTCGCACTTGAGTTCGGATAGTTATGACATTTTAGATACACGCATTTTCAACATTTGCATTATAATATTGTTGTCTTAACAGAAATGTAAATGTGATCGTCCTTCTACATAAAATGTTAAATGAATTATATCCATTCCGCATTCTGAAGATTTAATTAAATTATAGAGAACATAATACACAGAAATATCAAAAGATTTGAAATAGTTGCACAGTTACAAGTAACTAAAGTTAAATATCAGTATATTGGATAAAGTTCGCGCGCTAAGGGCCGTAATCATGTTCACTCGATATACGAATCACTCTATTCATTTTTACAGTTGAGCTAGCAATGATCATTGAACAATTGAATTTTTAGATTTACTTTTTTTTTTTAGTTTGTTACGTAGAAAGTATAGAAATTATCATAATTTAAAATGATATTTGAATGCTTAATTTGTACTCATACGTATTGATTATTATTTATAAAAAATTGAATATTTATTAACTCAATTTTACTTGCGGATTTAATTCTGAACAAGAGACAATGAAGTACGCGATAGCGGAATATTCGTGCAGGAAACAATATTACATTTTAATAATCTTCTTTCTAATTTTTTCCCGAGGAGATAGCGATCTTGTACTTTGATTGATGTTCTAATGTAACTTAACACGATAAGCGGCATATTAGACCCGGCAGTGATGATAATGCCAATTACTATCAACAAGAGACATTATCTAAATGTCCAGCGGCAATTTTTCTATCTGTGAAATATGTTATTAAATAATAAATAAGTGAAAATGTTATTAAATATTAAGATCCAAGAGATACTCCCAAAGATCTTTTTATGTTTAATTAAGTTTAAGTTTGAAGTAATCTCTTCTAAAATTTTGAAACTAAAATCTTCTGGTGATATTTTTGATGCTATTTATTAAATCGAAAATGTTTTAGAACAGTGTTGTTTAGTTTTAACCGTAAAGTCAAATAAATAACAAAATTTTTGTCTCTTTTTTGTTTCTTTTTATAGAAAATATCATTTGTTTTGCAAAATATATTAACTTTATTAGAAAAAAGTTATAACAGTTTTAATTGCAAAAGCAATTTACTTATCTTACGTGTATAATTTATTAATATATAATAAATTATTATATGTAAAATTATTCAAAAGCGATACATTAATTCAACGTTTATTCTAATGTTATATGAATTTCGTCTGAAATATAATTTTTGCCGATTACTTCACCGCAACAAATCATGTTGTTAGATTGCGTTAATTGAGGCATTTATATGGCATCATACTAGATTTTGTCGTACAGTGATTGTTATCAGCAATATTTACAAAGAGTTATCTTTTTACGATATTCTATTCTTCGAAAAATATGTAATCAACTTGTTTGAGCTAGCTTCGTAATTAAAAGTACTATATTATTCTTCTAATAATGTTTAAATAATTTTGGGAAAACAGAGAGATAAAAATTAAAAATCAACACGAAATAATTTTATAATTCTTTTTGGCTTTTCGATCAAAACTAAACAAATTTTAATCTAAATTTTTTCAACGCAGTAAATAAATCCACAAATATTGTGTCAAAAGAAGATCGTAGCTTTGAAATTTTAGAAGGTTATTTCGCCTTCTAAGCTTGTAATTAGGCATGCGTAAGGAAAGAACAGAATCTCTTAAATGTTTAATAACATATTTTAAGGGAACAAAATTGGACAAATTGAACAATGTCCCTTGTAAGTAGTCTTCCCGTATAATAGAAGACACGATCATTCCCCACTTTGTCAAGATAATGAGAGCAACTTCCATTAGTTTTCTGTCTTAGACAATGTGAAAGTGATAGAAAAGTGAACGAGGAATAGTAGTTCCCGATAGTTGATCTCTTCGCATTGCACAACAAGCGCTTACTGGTAGTCGTTGTAGTAGTTATTTGTGGTACTGATTAGGCATACTATTAATCAAACGTAACAGTATCTCGGTATATCTTTTAATATTAAATAGAGCTACGAAATTTCGAACGCTTTCGATTACTGTCAATGCTCAACAGTCTCGACAATCTTGATTATCGAGACTGTTACCGATTACGTACAGCTTATTTCGTAATCATAGTGCTTTCCATTTACTGACACAAGACTCGTCTGTCTTTATTACTCATTGAATGCCAAGAAAGATAGAACGATGTTTGTGTCGACTTGTGTCACTAAATGGAAACCAGTCAGTAATATCATTCTTGCACTGATAGTAATGTTGATCGTATGAGGCACGCGTAAAGCTTTCACTAGGCTGCACAAATGACTCGAGTTCATCACCGTAAGGTGAAAGGCGAACGAATCAATTTTCCCCTTGAAACGTATCCTCTTTCTCTCTCTCTCTCTCTCTCTCTTTCTATTTATGAAGCCGATTTTTAATTCCATTGAGGGATCTATCTTTGTTATACTTTCGTCCAACCTTCAAAGTGGACCGATTAATAAAATATTTTCGTCGTTTGATTTTTATGTCATTGATTAAGCTACGGCCAAAGATTATATTATTTTATGTAAAACATTCGTGTAGATTGAGGAATTTTCGGAACGATCTTATTGACTCTTTACATAATACGGTGTTGAGTTCGTGAAAAGCATATTTGTCAACTCCGTTTAAGGAATCAAGCTCCAAAATATGCGACAATGAATGTGTTATGTACATAGAAATTCACTATGATAAGTGAATTTGACTGTCTATCGCCGTCCTGATTTTAGGTACCGATTTATCTATCGATCTACCTTACCTGATTTATCTGTCTAAAAATATCACCTTACTAGATGAATTTACAAATTGCTAATCTGAAGAGGCCGACATACTCTCTCAGGTGTAATTCTCATTATGTGAGGTCAACATTTGGTATATGTTTACAATCGAAATTATTATTCGTTACATAGAATTGACTCGAACGTTTGATTGATGTTTTTAAACTTTTGAATACTTTATATCGATGATTTTATTATTTTCTGGTGTAATGGTAATTTCTTTCTTTCCAAATATAATTACATCCGTGCTAATACACAAATCGAAATAATTATCGCCGTTTGTAGCAACTGTTGATTTTGCACGTACAATTTTCACAAAATTCGCCTTTGATTAAGTATTATATACAAGGAACACATAAAATCTCGAAATCGTACAAAAGATTTTTCGCGTCTCTTTTTGTGTTGGCGACAAGATTTCCCTCGATTTCTTACTTCGTGGAACAAAGTTATATTGTTTCGAATACACGTCTTTCTTTAACAAGAGGTCAATTTCTGTGTTACTTATTTATTGACTTTATAAAGTATGCAGCACTAATCATTTAATTCTATTGTTCTTCATCGTCAACCATCATTCACCGATAAATTGGCGTTTCGAAAATCATTTACCGTTTATACTTACACGTATATTGATAATATATTAAGTCACATGTCTAATTAAATTGTAGACAATTGAATATTACTCGAAGGGCATAAGGCAAAAAGAATAAAATGTTTTTTCTCTGTAATTAGGATTTACTTCGAAGAGAGAGATAACAATAAAATATTTAAACGAAATAAAATTGCAATATAAAAACCAATTATATTAAAAAGTTAATGTCTTAAGATATTAAATTCGTATTGTAAAATAACTTATTTGATATGTTTAATAAATTACGTTTATTGATGCTTAACTATATGTCAATGATATGAAGGAAACCGATTGCGCAGTCAAACGATGATATGATGAATCATGAAATAATAATAAAAATTAAGCAACCTAATGATATTATAAATTTCTAACAGAACGTAAGATAATTGATTGTGGCACAAATTACTTAAATATTTAAATTATGGCAAAAAAATATTGTGCTGTATAAAATATCAATTATACTTATGCCCTTCGTGATAAGCATCGGCTACATTGCGCCGTTTGAAACAAAAACGCTTCATCGAGAAAGAAGACGATTTTCATAGAAAATAGCCGGAACGCGAACGACATCGTCATACGAAATAACATATAACACCGGCAATGATTTAGCGCCTCTTTGACTATTCTCCCTTTCCCATCGTTTCCTCCATACGTAAATTCGTACGATTCAATTTTTTTTATCTTGTGTGTAATAGCTAAGAGCATATGATTAATCATTATCGATCGTTTCGCGCACGTGCGCGCCCTGGTGTATGTGTATTTGTTGTGTATTTAATTAATTATAATATATATACATATATATATTATATTAACATATATGTATACATACTATATATAATATATACTTGTCGCGCGCGCGTTCCTATATGGTACTATAACATTACAGGACTATATACAATCAGAATAACAGTGTTATTTATTGTTATCGTTATATTATTATTATTAATAATATTAATAATATTATTATATTATTATAATTATTATTATACTATTATTTTTCTCATTTTCTTCTAGTCTAATCCTTCTTTTTCAATAGATCGGCCTGTCTGCGTTATCACGCTATGTTGCTCATGCACATGTACGAAGTGCTTAAGGCGCAGAGTACAACCCGTTATATCCCATTATTAAGATTTGTCAGTAGAATCAGATGAAAGTCCGTAAGATTCTATAATATGGATTAGTTGTTTTATTGTTTGCAGACAAGTTGTCCTAATATTTTTACGTATGCCGTTACTTAACATATAAAACAAGAATGAAGAAGAATTAAACTGACTCTCTTCTTCGTTTTATTTCTTAAGACACTGGCTCATTTCTTAATGCATTTCGTATCATCCGATTGAAAACGTTCATCGCAAAATCTTATACGAGAGTTTGAAAAGAGCGAGATTCTCTATTTTGTTCTACTAACAAATCTATCAGTCTTTCATTGACTGTTTTAATTCCGAAAGAATTTGATTTTGGGACATAATGGCTCATCTCTAGTTTTCAACCGTGTCTATGTGTGTCTATATGTGTGTTTCGTGTGTCACTTGCCGTCACTCATATTCTTTCAGCTCGAATTTCTCCCTGATTCGTCTGATCACACTTTGTTTCTTCTCCTTTTTTTTCTTTACCTTTTTCTTCTCTTTCAGAAATATTCCCGTAAATTTTTTAACTTCGTAAATCACGAAAATGGTTGCAAGATAAATGTACATAACTGTAAAATGTGACTTGTTTTTTTAAGATAATTTTATAATTTAGTTTTAATTATTTTGTAATTATTTTACAGGTAAGTAGCTGATTGATTGGTTGATAATAAGTCAACTAGAACTGTAAACAAGAGCTTGGCGAACTAGATGGTTCAGAGTAAAAGAAGATCGTAGAACACAAGCAAGGACATTATACCAAATCAGGTAATGCTAGAATTGAGTTAAAGACGAATTGGTTCAGGGCGCCAATTAGACTTGCTATAGTTCTAAGATTATATTTTTAGTTCCCAGTTTCTAACTATTTGTTCCGATGAATTCTGCAATAGTATCGCACGTTATAAAAATTACACAGAGGATACAAAACTCGCAGTATGTATTTAAATGTCACATAACAAAAGATAAAATAAAAAATTAAAACATTGAAAATTGAAACATTTTCTTGTATCAAGAACAATAATAATTTCTGATAAACAAAGTATTAAATTAACAATGAGTTAAATATTCCAAGATGTAAATCGATAAAGGCTTACTTTATTCTTTACCTGCACAAAGAGCTTATTTAGTTATCAAAATATTGAACGTTAACGAATAAAAGATTGCGACAAATGATGGTCCCTTATATTAAACCTTTACGAAGTAAACTCGGTTTAAAATGATTTAAAATATATTTAAGCAATTAAAACCTATATTGATAGATGTACGACATTCTCTCTGACAAGATAATGGTAAATCGTATTTCAAATTGGCAGCATTTTTCAAACTTCTAAACATACAATATTATTTCGTATTGTCGTGAGTAACGTATAGCTGACAGAAGTTTGATTTTAGCGCTTTTCTATATTTTTTAAAGGCTCTCTGGATAGATATATTGTAATGTTTAGTTATTTCATTCGTAAATAATGACAATAGAGTTGACAAATTCGAGCCGGAGAAATAATGTCGACACATTTTCGATCTCTCATGTTTTCTTGTCCTTTTCTCCTCACACATAATTATCCGTCCGATCACGACAAAACGCGGTGGCATCGCTCCAATCCAAATAGTCGATTACAAATTAAGTAGTGTTACTATTAAATTATTGCACATTAAATGAACAATTACATTGAGTCCTCAGATTCGTCAATATCCCTTTTTCTCTTTTTAATGAACGTAAATAGCGGCCTGGAGATTCGTTAAGTCCTACTTAATTACGAATTAACTCCCTCCCTCCTATCGTTTCTCTCCGTTGTATCCATGTATACATGTGTATACGTTCATACGTATCCTCCGTGTGTTGCATATGTATTTATACACAATAATATGAATATATATATGTAGGATGCCCTGCTTCTCTATTGTATCTTCTTTCAGCGAATCTTTGGTAAATTTAATATTTTTTAAATTACAATAATTCAGACGACAAAATTTTTGTTTATATATAATGTTATATGTGAATATTCTTTGTTATATTAATATTCTTCGCTTTAATATTTTAGTTAAAAATGTAATTATGATAGTGAAAATATAGGAGCTATTTTAAGTTGGTCAAAGAATTTGCAAAAAGAAACGACGTAAGTGATAGAGCGACTACATATGCATATTCATTTATTTATTTATATGTATATATATGTTTCTCTCATTAGTGCCTATTTATTGTTAGTCAAGGAGGAATGTATAATAGTTGTAGTGGTCATGTAGGGTTGAGCGAGATAAAGAATCGTTCATGCCGGCACACGTCCGGTTTTCATCGTTCGGTATCTGACTGACAGGAGTTCAAAGTCGAATGATTACGTTTAGCTAGGCCCTTCTTTATGCGATTACAGCTAAGTAATTTCTAAAATTAGGTGGGGTCGTGTCCTCGCCTGTTCTCACGTTTCTTGATTATCTCGGTTAATAATTAAAATCGCTTAGGCTATTGCTCGTAGGCGAGTTGCAAATAGGCGCTACGCTCGAATTATTGTGATAATTTCGAAAGTCTATTAGATAGTGTCTACGACGACGTCAGCAACCAGCTCGCGTTTACGCATTGATGTGAATCGTGGATGTTCGTGTTTAGGGCTTTTGGTTGCTCTGAGATCTGTGAATGTGTAAAATGATGCGGCAGTCAGTAACATATATTAATGACGAGTTATTGCTGAAAGAAAGAAAGAGAACGCAAAATGATTTTTTTTTTTTCAGAGACTCGATACTTTCTATATAATTATCATTAACTCGTTATATTAAATAAATAGCGATAACAAATTAAGTTTTTTCCAGGGGAATATTCATCGTATATCTATATCGTGAATTCAATTCACACGCACGCGCGTTTTGCTACGAAAAATTACCTTACGCTTAACTCTGCAAGAACCAACTCTATTACAAATGCACACTTTGCGAACGGGCGAAATGCTGAAGTACGGCAGTCTTCCTGCGGAACTTAGCACCGAGAGAGCTTAAATTATCCAGCGCGGACAAGAGGTTAAAATCCGTTGATTTCGCGCATTTCACGGATCGCAAAATGCACGTAGGAAAAGTCTAGGCTTAGCCTTCCGTCGTTTGGGAACGTCGGAGTAGCGGACATACTTGATTTTTTACCTCGTGTGAGGACATAGGAAGGGCCACAAGGGCCCGATCTTCCTACGATGGCCTTTTAACTACAGTATGCAATATATCTACAAAATTCGCTCTTTCAATTGACATTATTCCGTAGAAACAACTATGATATAAGAACTAAACTGTATTGTGTCGTTTAATTGTTACTTACCACCACTCTTAATTCGATACCTCGATGGTGAACAATTGTACCACGTAACGATGCTAGAAATTCTTTTATTGCCATACTGTGAGTTAGAAAGCTACTCTGCCTCTCGGTGGCGCATTCCGACACCTCATTCGAGAGCCGTGAATCGAGCATAGGTCCGTCTCCTGCATAGGATGACTAAGGATAAATGGAATCGGATTAAGCCGAATCCTCAGAAGATAGACTGAATTTCTCTTTGGGTTTAAAGATCGCGATCTACCCTATTACCCTTAACGTACTCTCCCACGCAAGCGTAACTATTTTTTTTTTATCGCCGGATACGCACGCTACAATGATTGTATATGTTCCGGGGCCTCATATCGCTTATATTGTCACGAGATATAATCCTCCATAGTGGATATTTCTAGCGTAATAGAGCCACCCGCGTTATCATTGGCGTTTGACGATTGACATAGTCAGTGCATTCGGTTGGAGATATCGATGGATTCGCGGGAATTACTCACATATAGTACACGGTATAATATAATACATACGTTTTTTTACTTCTCTTTATATGTATATTATATGTATATAATACACACATATGTACATATATAATATATACATATAACATACATTATTGTGTGTCTCCTCCCCTCCGTCGGGGATCAATTTCTTACGACAAACATATATATCGCCCCTGCTTTGCCATCGTTTACGTACATACATACATACAAGTGTTTATGTGGTTTAGCGGAACATCAACAATTTACTTTATAAGGCCCAAATATTGTGCGCTACTTGTTCAATCAAATACGCGAAAGGAGCTTTTTCTGCGAAAGCGAATCTGCGCTCTCGGTTCGCTCGATCATGCTCGATCATCCACAAAGGACGCGCTGCTTCGATCGATAATCGGTGCTGAAGATCAACATCATCAAATAGTTACTACGAATCTATCAATTCGTGTGAATTCGAGACGTTTCTGTTTGGAGTATTCAGAAATTTTCTAGCTATACGCAATTATTTATGACACCTACTTGATAGTTGTACATTACGTGATTTATTGCGTTTATGCGTCTTGTTGCAATTTTGATCATTACGTGAAAATACGACGGTACATTGTTTACGCTTGGTATGATCTAATCGTAAAAATACGAATTGCAAAATATGCAGTATTTTTTATCCGCAAATTAGTATGCTTGTGATAGTTTTTTTCCTTAAAAAACAGTTTTGCGGTCGTTCATTGTGATCGTCGCAGAGTTTATGTAAGGAAAACAATCATTTATAAGCAAATTTCGTTCGTTTTTGAATTGCATATTACGTGACACATCTCATAGAAGATTCACAAAAAATAGCCTTCAACTCTTTGATGTGTACACTCTTATTCACTCTTATTTAAATACTTTAGCTTATTAATTATAATTTATTTGTATCAACAATATAAAGTTCTCTTGTTATATATGTAATGTGCTTTAAGAAGTTACAAACAAGTTTTGTAAGGAATCAATATGTGGACAATTACGCTTTCAGCAGAAGTTTACAAGCGAAATCAATTTAGATTAACCTGCACCTTTAGCTCGGTAGAACCACAGGCTGTTATACATCTATATCATATTTAATATTTTGCAAGTTGATCGTCGGGCGCAAACTCTTGATGTTGATTCTAAAATTTATTCCCGCACCGATTATCTCTCGAAGAACGATTAGCGCCGCGTCTCGACGCTCGTCTGGTGACGGCGACCAAAGGCGAAGGCCACCGCGGCTCGAGCGAGCGATTCAAGCGGAAAAGCGAACGTCCTGGACGCGTACGCGCTCTCAGCCATAAGCCTGGCCCGCGACTTCTGTTCTAGGTTCGGATGTCAATAACGACTACGTTGATCTCACCCGCAAACGAGACGAGGCTTGACAGTATCGGTGATTTGGATCTTAGCGTTTAGAACCTGAAGCCTAGGGGGACTAGGGCCGAGGTCAGCGACGCGATCGTCAATCTAGCTCCGTTGATTAAGTATTGACCGTTATGCTTCGGAATTGCCAAACACGAATTCCGGAAACAGGCTCCAGAAAGAGGAACGAATCTTCCTCGTGGCAACGCGGACGACGCCGATCCTCCGCGAACATCGGCCGTACCGCCAACAATCCCGTTTCTGCTCTTCGCGAACTGTCGGTCTCGTTTTCCCCTTTTTCGTCGACGATATAATAGACGGGCAACGCGCGTCGGACGACCGGGAGACCATTCGGGTTTCCCGTCTGGAATGCCTTGCCAAGTGTGTCGGGTTCGTTCTTTTCTATCTTCCTCTAGATTCACGGCCCTCAAGTGGCACTGTCAAGAACCATAGATTTCCTTCTGTCCTTGACAGTAGCTGGCGACCAACCAGCCTGCCGACGGCGGTTAACCAGCTGGCGAATTTGCGTGGGGACGCTCGCGGGTGGTAGATCAGGTTCCTCGATCGTTGAGGTTGCCAGGGCCACTGCGAAAGTCGGCGACGACGACGACGACGACAACGAGGAAGAGGAAAAGGCGATGGCGGCACCGCCGCGATGATTGACGGTGTTCGACGGCGGGCCGCGTCGCGACGTCGTCGACCTGCCGCCAATGGACGTCGCGGACGGCGTTCTCGCCGTCGTCGCCGACGGCGCCGCGGACCGTTTTGATGTCGTCGACGACGTCGTCGAGCCTCCGACGTACTGTTGGTGTCTCGTGATCGGCGACGCTTGCTGCTGATGCTGCTGTTGCTGCGATCTGGCGGCATGATAGGCCATGTCTGTTTGCTGGGCCTGCGACATGACCGAGATGTGCGAGCCCGTTGCGTGACCTTGCCCGAGATCGTGGGGGTTGTCGTTGCTGATGCTGGAGGATGACGAGTAGTGCGAGGGCGACGAGACGGGGGGAGTGGTGCTCGCGACGGAGGTGGTGATGACGGTGGTGATGGTGCGTATGGTGCCGGGGGTGCCGATGACCGCTGGTAGAGCTGCTTCCGGTGCACCGTTGACCAGCGACTGGACCGCAGGGTCTGGTGGATGGCGTACGAGAGGCTCAGGAACAGCGACTGGAGAATGTTGCTGCTTGTCGTCGCCCAGATCGCCAGCGCAGCCGTAATCGTAGCTGCAGCAAAGCTGCCCGTCCTACGGAGAGGTTCGTGGGAGACTGGGTTAGCCACGGCGGAGAGAATCAAGCGCTTTTTGTTCGTAAATTGTCGACTTGGTCCGTCGACTTCGGATTGGAAAGTTTTGGCCAACGTGATTCATGAGAGCACGCGGTACCGTCGTAAGAATGACATACATCAAAAAGTGAAAAATGCAATTATATGAAATGACATGAGTGTTAAATTGCTTTCCGATCGTGTATTATATATACGGTATAAAAAAAACGGAATATTTCTTGATTCCTAATTTGAAATTATTCTTTGCGGTATTAGAATATCAATGCGTTTTATGCTAATCTGAATTAGCTTCTAACAAAAAGTTTTTTCCATTCTAATATTCGCACAAAAAAGGAAACTTTTGAATCATAAAATTCATAATTAACCCATATTCCTTGTGATTTTTGCAATATATTAGACATTTTATCGATAGATCAGATTATTTCATCAATTCTTTTTTCAATAAGTGCCATTCTTTATGTTCTTGTTACATACGTGTTCAAGAATTTTTATTTTAATAACAAATGGATTAAAAAATTTTATTTTTTCCACATACCACGGACGTAGTATTTTAATAACAAATGGGTTAACTATCAATCGATTACTCGGCGCGCCAAGACTTTCCAACCTGTAGTAATGAGGCAGGTACTTGTGTCCATAGTATGTAATTCATTGTTTCGTGGAACAATACCGCATCAGTTCCGCCGTGGCGAGATAATAAACCAACGTGCAAGAATCCAACCCCCGCTTTTACTTCCCTTGAAACTTCCCTTGCGACGTTCCTCACACCCGCATCGGCGGCGCCCTTTTCTCTCAGTCAAGAAGACGACTTGTAAATGGTCATGATCACAATTACAATAACTGTAAGGACACTCATGCTGACATTCGAAAGGGGGCAAAACAATGAATTTCCATAGTATGTCTTTGATACCCGGCGACAAATCTCTAAGTTTCCACTACTTTCCGCTGCGATCCTGGCAGGACACTTTTATAGCATGTACACGGAAAGAAAGGATTAGTTACTATAGCAAATCTAGTCGTAAAACATAACATGATAATTAACGTTTATATTATTTACATTTATTGTAGGGCTAATTAGCATTTTTTGCAGCAAGAGCTATAATTTTGCAACAATAGCAAAATCTTTTGTTAAAGTTTTGCTGAACTTTTTGCTACTTAGTTTGCAAAAAGATTTCGCTACTGTTGCTAAATTATAGCTCTCGCTACAAAAAATGTTAGTTATCCCATATTTTACGACTAGATTTGCTATAGTAGCTAATCCTTTTCTTCCGTGCATATAATATGCATTGATACTCGCACAATGTTTATAAAATAATACTCGACAACCTTAAATATTTCAATAAGAAAATTTAATTTAAAGTCCAACAAAGTATGAAATTTTACTCATTATAATTTCTTGCTGTATTCAGTATTTCATTGTTCGCATTTTGCATTTTTGTGCGAGTAATTTCCGTCTTGCCAGAATCGGCGCTTGATAAATCGATACAGAGAAAGAAAGAGACCTCTTGGGGTGCGTCTACCGAATCTCGAATGCAGATCAGAGGAGGGTGCAGTGGAGGCTTAGGTGCGACAACGACTCTTAAAAAAAATTAAAAAAAAAAGAAAAGAGAAAGAGACATAAAAATAGACATAATCGCGGATCCAAGACGCAGTCCGTATATGTGTGTGTGCACATGTATGTGTGTATGTATGTTACATGTGTCTGCCACCTCGTGCGCCATGCTCCTCGATCGACACGAGAAAGATCCGCCGACCGAAACGATCGCCTTCTCTTATATCTTTTTGCATGAACGACCGTGCGTCTCGGAGTGTGCGTAAGTAAAAAAAAAAAAAGGTGAAAGAGAAAAAAGTGAGAGGGAGCAGTGCGCAACGTTGGGGAGTAGGAAGTAGAATGCGTGAGAGGTGCGTCGACGCATGCAAATTTCGGAAACGTGCAGTCGATCTTCCCACAAACGAGATAAAACAATACGTCGTATTCTCGTTCGATCCGTCGACGAAAATTTATTTTACGCGATAAAAGGCATGCAAATTATTTCTTCGCGGCGTGTCACGTGCAGACGCTATTTTTAGCAACATGAATATTTAAAATGAGGAGTTTAGATAAGGAATTAGCAAAGCAAACGAATGGGTACCGTTAATCAACTGTCTGTGTAATCGGAATGATAAGATTAGATCGTAAAGATGAACTTTTCCCAGCAGCACGATAGTTAAATGTCGAATGGTCAGTGATTTTGAGTAGATACATGAATGTCATAAGAAATTTTGCCGAACTAATTAGAAATCCGCCCCGCTCTCAAATCTAAAAGATCGTCAACGTCACGTCGAGAACACTCTCCTTCGAATGCGACCAGATGCACATGCTCCGTGCTTGCGATACATTTATATTATTATATTCGTTGTTATTATATCCATGTCCATATATATACATTATATCCATTATTGAATAGTGATAAAGCTTTGGTGATCAACGTGCGGCGATTAACGTAGTGATAATAGGTGACAGATGGTAACAGATTCTAATAAGAAGAGAAGAAAAGGCTCAGAAGAAGAATTACTAAGTATCGAGCGAGGGTGCAAAATATAGAAACATCAAAAAAGTGAAAGGCAGCAGGAGAGAGAAAGAGAAAAAGTCGGGATTAACAAAAAAACAGGATCGTCTAAGCAGGTAGAATAGAGGAGAGGGGGGGAGGGGTGGGCAAGAAAGCACTCGAGCACTCCGTTAGTCGTAGTACATTAATCAGCACACAATAAAGACAGAAGAGAAGAGGCAGGTAGTAGAGATTATAGGTGAGATAGAAGTGACGTGATTACCGATGCACACAACACGCGCTATTGCTCACCAATTGGGCGCAGTACGGCACCTGCAAGGATACCCATTGTTAGGCTATATGAGGTTAGTCATCACGGGCAAGGTGGCGGGGTTAATTTACAACAGCATAGTCACAGGCAGACAATGTTTCCCCGGCCCAACTCTCCCCTCCTATATCCCTCCCTCGCTATTTCTCCTATGCGTGACCAGGACCCTCTCTGGTGCGCCACGTCGATCCACATTCGCGATCGTCGCGGCTTAAAAGATCGATATGATTGGCCTAGGCGCCAGCGGAATCAGTCGAATTCCACTCTGGTGGTCCCCGGCCAATCGTTGCCAATGTCATCCACTGATGAAATCGTGTGCGGATTGTGCCCGCACGCTATTCAATCCCCTTGATTGAACTTACGGCACGATATACTAGACTGTCGTCGACCGGCGATCAGGCGATCGCGAATCGGATCGGCGGGGTCAAGGTCGTGGTGCACGCTCACTATGAGGTCAGGTCCGTTTTCTATTAATCGTCGCCGGGCGGTAAACACTAATAAAATGATCCATGCAGGGCCGACCCGAAGCACGCGCGATCGTGAGATCTCGGCTCAATCTCGGTTTGGCGTATATGAGGTGTTCCGGATTTACCATGTTATCTATCAGCCACACTTGGAGAGGGAGAATTTATGATTGATATTTCGATGCCGCGGTGACTGGGAATTTAATTATTGTTGAAAGCAAAACAAGGGAAATTAAGCCGTAGAAGTAACAGAGATCGGATCTTAATTAATTTTCAAAAAAATTTTAATTTAATATTTCAATTTATATCAAGAAAAGATCGCGAATTCGGATACTTTTCACGGTCTGAAAGATAAAACGATAAGTTGAAACACCATACATATTTCATCGTCACCCTAATTATGAAATCTAAAAAAAAGATTATAGAGATTATACAAAAGTGTATGTGTGTATAAGCTTAGCATTTCGTAAGTTTTATAAACGATCTAAATTATAAATTGTTAAATTATTGTTAAAACCATCCGTGACAAACCATATGCTATTAATGCTATTATCAATTTATAGTTTCTGCAACTGAAGTTTGAGTTAAGCAGAAATTTCTGAAATACGGACACCTCGTCTCATATATTCGAGATAGCAATAGGATGACGATGAGCGAAGCACTCGGCGAAGAAGCGAAACAACGAGCTCTCTCGAAATTCAGCGTTTTCTTTTGAGATTTGATTATATGTATGAACCGGGATTCTCACGGCCATGGCAGTATTCGATCGCATTCCATATCTACAATGTCTATACATAAAAAGTAATTCTTTTTCATTGGAAAATACGTAAGGAATTATTTTGCAAATCATGCTCTTCTAGATTCCTGATTACATCTGCATTCAATTAATTGCAGTATTTTTTTTTTACATTTTGCTGATAAGATTATTGACATTTCTGCTTTTTTTTTTTGTAAAAAGACATGAGGATTAAATAAATTCTCAATGTTTTGCGTTATAAAGATGTGAGCCTTGAAGAACGATAAATCATGATAGAATTATAAAAAACGGATTTAAAAACGGTTTTAGGAAGAGACAGTCATTTAATAATCTAAGATCTAAGATATAGATTTAATAATCTAATATCTGTTTCTCCTCTCACACATGGAGAAACGAACGACGAATGCTGCCACGTGCAAGGCAGGCAACGAAAAACAAATAACATTTATTTTAGGCTAGCTTAGGGACGCCCCTGGATGTGTCTAACAATATATAAAAATAGGAAATTTGAATAATTTACAGTGGTGAGTACAGCGCTGAGATCGTATAATGACAAGGCCAGCACGACGCATTAGAGCACGCTGAGAGAGAAGATAATATTGGTTACAATAATATTAATACTGAATATATATTAATATATTATTATATATTTTTTATATTATATATATATACATTTGCGTTCCAGTAATTTGGTTAGTTAAATTCATGCGAATGTGAAGTCAGATTTCCAACATACGTTATAAACGTTATTCCTCTTCTCTCAGCGTACGGTTAATAAAATTTCAGCGTTTAGCTTTGCAAAATCGATTCGCGTTAATACACACCGCAAAAAAACGGCATACTGCACGAAAAAAAAAAGAACAGTCAGTATGTACCTTGTACTATTCGAGGATTACCTACTGACGACAAGTAAAACAGACAGACAGAGAGTAAAGAGAGCGAGTAAAAGTAACATGATAAATGGATGCTTGTGTGTATAATTTCATGTTTGCATGGCGGACAATTTCGATCGTATGTACCAAGAAGGTGGAGACTTTAATTTAATGGATTGTAAAATGTGCGAGTATGATTCGGTAGCAATTGAAGTAAAATTAATCTCCCGTTATTTGAATATTTGAATATGTTTTTACAAGCAATATTTCTTCGTCTTAAGAGAAACTAATACGCAGAGTTAACACGTAATTTGGTTGGTGATGGTATTTAAGTGCGTTAGAGTAGAGTAAAAATCATTCTGTTACGAAAATGGTAACGCTGATGGGAATAAACGCTAATTTTTATCGCGGAAAAACTCAGATGCGAAACGAACGGAAATGAAATAGATTGATACGATTTGCGTTGATGCTCCGTCATGTATATGTACGTATACATATTCTGCGATGGACGCCTGCACAGCAATTTTCTTGCATCTTACGTCGGCATAGTACAGCGAGCGCAATTTAATAGGCACATGACAGATTCACGGCTAAATTGAGGCAATATTTCCTTTCATTTACTGACCTTGAGCTTTTGAATTCGCGAGAGAAGTAAGCGCGATGGGTACCAAGATCTCGTTGGGATGGTCTGCGTTTCAATATCGTCATTGTTTAAATATTGTTTGCGTTGTTAACAATTAAAAGCCGAAAATATACATCACCATTTTATGACCGGGACAATCTCCTTGCGGTACCACATGAAAAATACATCATTTTATACTATATTGAACGCGTGTAAAAAAAAAAGCGTGAGACTAATTGTCATCGCACTGTACAACATATTCCGTATTATCGAGATTAAATAGAATGCTGTTAATTTACGGGAATATGGAAAGGACTCGGCAGATCTCTGCGGACGACCATCCTCACTTCCTCCGTGCCCATGACGTCGTCCTTTTCCAACGAATTCCCCCCTTTATCCTATCCGTATCCTCCGGATCTCGCATGGGATCGGGTTCAATGACCGATCGCGGGTCCTGCGACGTGACGGACACGCGTGATGACACGTCCGATCCTTCTTCTTACCTTGCACTCGCACGTGGTGCACTTGTCGTAGGGGTCCTGCCAGGAGCTGCCGCTTTCGTGGATGATGCCGGCGTAGCTGCACGGCCGGGGACGACTAGGAACCGTGTACGAGGTGCCGTTCGCCGGCACCTCACGAGCGCAGGGATCGTCCTCGCAGCGCGGGCAACAATCGCCCTCCTCGGTCACGGGATTCGAGCAGGTCACCGGTGGACACTCCATTTGCCAGCAGTCTATTTCGCCGTACTGCAATAGATCGTGTGATAATTCGCGGAAAGTTTGAAATCAGTTATTGTAATTTTTTTTTGTTTTAAGAAATCACGTTCTTATAGTGGAACTACGATATGCGGGGGGGTTTGAGAGCTGAAGGGTTGGGTTGCTTAAAATATTCTTCTGATTCACAAATCTGTCGTGCTTGCGGACAGATGTGTATTGTAGTTCGGACAGGTTTATTACCAGGCACTCGCAAGTCTGACACTGGTATATCCAACGTTCTCCGCTTCTGAAGACTAGGTTATGGAGTTCCTGATGCCTGCAGGACGCGTCGGGATCGCATTGTGGACAACACTTGTCCTGGCGACTTTCCGGGACGCTGCAGTCACATATGGGATCCCTGCAAGTGATCACACCGTCTTCGCACATGCATCTCCTGCAAGGATTTCCGGATGGCATTAAAGGGTCGCCATTGTTGACTTCGCGACCTTCGAACCAGCAACCTAGAATTATAGCACAGCAATGTAACAATTGTTTTGCATTCTCGGTACAATTTCGAGTAGTTTTACTCTAAGAGACAAAAGCATCTTTTTAGACGCGACGAATGAACTCACTGAGTTTGCATTCTTTTCCGGACTCTTCCAAATCCATCGCCGGCGGGCACACGCACTCATAGCCGCCCTCGGTGTTGACGCACTTCGCGGTAGGATGACACGTGTGCCTCCTTTCAGTTCGATCGGTGCACTCGTCGATGTCGACGCATTGCGTGCCCTGAGTACTGTCGTGCAGGGCGCTCCTGTAGCCAGGTTTGCATCGGCAGTAATACCAGCCGGGCATGTTGAAACACGTGGATGACTGATGACATCGATGCAGATCGCTGGCACACTCATCCAGGTCGAGCTCACAGCTATTGCCGATGTAACCGCGTCGACAGGAGCACCTTCCGGGTGCCACGCATTCGCCACCATTCTGGCAAGTCTGATTGCACACAGCTACAAAGACAAGATAAGTTTTACTTTGTAGTTCAGACCTTTTTTCTTTAAAAAATAAAGGTGCAATTATCTCCAATGCCATTTTTTAATTGAAATTAAATTAACATTTGATTTTTAATGAGATTCAACGCAGTTTTATCGCAGTTTTATCATTTAGTTTAGAAATAATTTCTTATTTCTGTGAGACTAACTTTCTCTGAGAATAGAAGAGGGGTTACTCAATTCGTATTCGAATAACCAACCTTAAAGAGCGATCTTTTTATTTTCCCGCTTCTAGTTTCCTTGCGAAATGGTATGTCGGAGAAAAATAAACATTCTCCACTTTAACAAATCTTCTTTCACCGCTTTACTCACGCGATGAAAATACCGTTGCGATTGTTTGTGTACACATTCACTCGGAGAGCAAATTTTTCAATAAAGATATTTGATTCTTTTCGATTTCTTTTCTATTTTCAACATCGTAAGAGTCTTTAATAGATTGGCATGTTTACTCAATAATCATTTCACATAAATTGCTCACAACTATATAAATTTGTTTGTAAAATGGTAAATATAAAAAATTATATAGATTAATTAATATAAATTTAAATAACAAAAATTATTATTTTATTCGCGTCTTATTGCAGACAAATTTGTTTCTTTATTTAATAGATTTATTAATTTATTAAAACGGAGCAAAAAAAATTGAAATGATATATTGTAATCACATCGAATATCAAGAAATTATTGATTAAAATATTGTTATTGTATAAAAGCGATATACTGTACGTTTGCATGTGAAGCCATCGCCGATATAGCCGTCCTTGCAAATGCAGTAGTAGCTACCGTTAGTGTTCACACATGTGGCGTGCTCGTCACACAAGTGCTGACCAGTCGCGCACTCGTCCAGCTCGGCACAGTTGAACTTGTCCATTCTATAGTAACCCGGAAGACACTCGCACGTGTAAGAGCCGATCACGTTGACGCACTTCGTGTTCGAGTTGCAAAAGTGACCGTTCGATCCACCTTGCTGCTTGCATTCATCCACGTCTGAGTGACGAGACGAAAAGAAAGCGTCATTGATCATATAATCAACGAAATCGTATTATAAATTATAATTATATTTAACATCTTCCGAAAATGTATCAAAAATAAAATAAAATATAAACTGGTTAATTAGAACATGCGAATTCACAGGAAAATAAATGACGTTGGAAAACAACATATACCAAGTTTCGTAAAATATAAATGATGCATTTGAAAAATTAAGTGACCACGAAAAAGGTACAACAATTAAAAAGATAACAGTTTATCTTAAACTCACTGAAACTCGCTTTCAAATTTGTACTCATCTATTAACTAACAAAAGTAGATAGTAAAGTAAAAATACATATTAAAAATAAGAAAAGTAGAATTTTTGAACACTCGTTTTCAATTAAAACAAGATAAATGCTTTGCGCAAATCATGTGAAGATTTGACTTAACATAAAGTTTGCATGCTTCTCGTACGAGAGCAAGTTCGATGTGCGTTACGGACGATTAATTGCAAGTAAAGTTAGGTAAGCGTTAGGTACCGTGACAGTTATGGCCATCCCCCTGGAAACCGGTATCGCAATGGCAGGCGAAGGTCGTCTGGAGATTCATGCAGGACGCGTTAGTATGACAGTCGTGGCCCTTCGCGCAGTAGTCCACCCCTGGTTAAATTGTGTTAGCCAGGCAAATACGTAGGACGGTTAGAAGATTTAATTAGCGATCTAGCGGTTTTAGATAAAAGACTGTCGCTCGATTTGACCGTTAGTAACCCTCCCATGCGTATTAGATTATAATTATTATAATTATAATTAATTAGTAATAGAGATCATCATAATTAGTGATAGATATCAATATAATTAATTAGTAACAGAGAGTAGCAATTTCATGGATTAATGTTATCTCATTCCACTTGAATTAAAAATATTATAATATTATATACGTGTTCAATAATCTTATAACTTTTAATTACCATAATAATTGAAAATAATTAGTATGGGTAACATAAGTAGTTATTATATCCATTTTCATATTGTCTCTATACATAGCGATTTATTTCTCTTAATATAAGCGTTTATATGAGCGTAATATAATATGCATTTATTCAGATTAGCGGAAGGGAAGAAGGCTTAAAAAAAATTTCATGCACGAGAGGGTTACGAGTTAATGATACACGAATTATGCGAACCACGCTTTTGCTTTCGCTTTTCCATGCTTGTTATTCTTTCAGATCCAATATTATAACATGCGCCATAAATTTATCTGCTAAATTTCAATGTCTACAAATGTTTGTAATTTTTTTTGTTCTTTTTTTTATAATAAGAATCTGTGGATTATAAGAAAGAAATACTCTCTTGACGAAACTATCAATACTGACTGTTTAGAATCGAGTTATAACATCATACAGCATAGATATGAAATATTAGATGGTTTGTTATTTCGTTTTGGAAATGAGATTTAAATGAATATATATTCGTTTCCGCGTGTAGCTTTCCAAGCAAAAACATACCTGGACAAAACTTGCAGCATTCCTCCGCCACGCTGAGTTGCTCGCTGGGTGGACACGGTAGTGGTGGGCATTTGGTGTCAGTGTCGAATCTCGTGCAGGTGAAGATACCGTCGTAGCACTTGCACTCGACGCACTGCTTCGGTGAGACCCTCTCGCCGTGATCGTAAATTACGCCGTGCAACAAACATTGTTCTGCGGAGGCGAACATGAATGGCGAGATAAGTAAAGTGAGGCACGAGACGGAAGTGGTCGACTGAACACGAAATACTCTACGTCAATTAATCAGTCGGTTGCGTGTGTGAAAGTAAAAGACGGATTCATGTGAAAGCGACATTAGACTACTCAAGAGAGTTGTCCTCTCAAATGTCAAGAATTTATACGATGTTCTAAAGATAAGAAATATATGAATTATGAATGATAAACTATATATACTGTGCGCTAAGCAAAAGACAAGAAAAAATCCTAAATGTTGTAGGATTCTTGTCAAGCTTTGAAGTTAATTATTTAGAAGAATCAATGGGATTTAATAAAAATATTTTCTTATTAAAAATTATCATGGATTATGGAATGTTATAGGAAAGACGTTTGAGAATGGAAGATAAAGAGACGAAAAAGACAAGAGTATAATTTTCCACTTACTGAGACAGGTCGGGCAACATTGTCCCTCAAGAATGACGGGATTCTTGCAGGTGACCGGAGCGCAGAGCGTCGACCTGCACTCAATCTCGCCATGGACGCAGGAACAATGTTGACAATCCCTTACCCAGGTTGCGCCGTCTTCGTAGACGGTACCATTCACCCTACAGGACTTTTGGCACTCGCACTCCTCCACTTTGCTTATCCTGCCCTCTGCAGCGGCTAGCTGAAAGGAAGGATGTCCATGAACAAAAACAATTTGCCTTATTTATATTTTATGAGCAAAAAAATAACGATATTTATTATACTAAGGCACTTCCTAGAAAATTGAAGATTATTAAAGAAAACATTCTGTACATAATTATACAATAAAATTATGGCAATATGTGCGTATAGGATTTACATAATTTGTACATCAACTTATGGCACTGAACTGAATCTTGTATCGCTTTAACACCAGTTTGTGTAAACGTACAAATTACTTACCCTACGAGTCAACTCGTTGAGATTGTGCATTAGTTGTTCGACGGTCGTCTGTAATATCGAAAATTGACCGCATGTGGGGCAGGATGAGTCGAGCTGAGGACACTGGGAAAGATAACCGTGAGGTCCTGCTATTAACTTGACGTCCTGCAAAGCACCCTACGGCGCGAGAATCATACGGAAAGCTTAGTTCAGGGTGCGAGATCATCATGTGTGAATATTACAAGCAATACTAAACTAAACAGAAAACAGGTTGTGTTTTTACTGATACAAATTGAATTAGCAGGAGTATATGCCAATTTTATAAATCAAATTTTATAAATCAAATTTTATGACTGACTGACATCAGTCTTGGATGCTGCAACTAAATAACAACTAAATAGAAAAGAAATAGAAAAGAATACGGAAAGACGTATGCTGCAGTAAAACGTGCGGCTTCACCTTAAAGAGAAAGTGCTTGACGTTCCTCTGCCCTACCCAGAGCTGGAGCTGCGGCAGGGTGAAATTGGTGTCAGGTGGACCAGGTCTCAGCAGTCGCCTGTACAAGGGGTGACAGTCGACTAGCAGCTCGACCTGCGAGCCGCTTATGCTCAGGGCGACCCTATGCCAGGCGCCATCGGCCAGTCGGAAAGGAAACGCCTCGACGTGTACGGTTCCGTCGCGACGTGATACGTAATGAAGTCGAAGCTCGTCCTTGCGTCCGCTGCTCTGCAGCTCCAAATACCTGACGCACATTATATTCTATTTATTGCTGATGATTGTAGACTTATATGATTATTCAGGATGTAATCTAAAACTGTCATAATATATAATATCGCAATATAATGTAATGTAATAATTTAAACTGGATTAAGTATCGTAATTAGCACATCTTTTATAATATCACATCTTTTATAATATTATTTATAATATTATCTTGCGTTAATTAGAAATTTCTCGGTTCATTATTCTGTTAGTAATATCACAATAACGTGACGATACTAATTTTGAAACTCTATTAAGAGTGATTTAATTTATACATTACAATCCGGGTTCACGTGTTTATCGCAAAACAAATTAAATTATGCTGTCGCCGCTAATGGCATGTACTTACAGGCGGCGCGTAATTAAGTTCTGGGAAACTTATTGGCCTTTAAGAAGCTTATTGAGTTTTCATCTATATTAATCCGAGTTGCGGCACGTTAATTTATACCGTGCAATATACACGGGCGCAAGTCTATCCAAAATAAATTTTACCACCGCACGGCTCTGACATGACACAAACATCTAACGAAGTATGCCGTTTAACGAATATTTTATATTGTATTGTTTGATCCTGACGCACAAATATGTAAGTTTCTAATTGTATAATTACGGATTTTTTATTGTCTTTTACTTATTGCGGAGTACTGAAATATGTCGTTTAGTTTCTAGATTCGGCGTAGTTATAGGGCATTATGCCTGACGATAGTTATTTGTGTAACAAGTGAGGTAAGATGAAAATTCCCGGGTGTGGAGTTTACGCACGAGCCGAAGGCGAGTGCGGTAACCGCACCCGGGAATTTTCATCTTTACACACGGCTTACACTCCCTATTTTATGTTGCAAGTGCCTGGAAAGTGGTCTATCACGCACGCGTAGCGTGCGTAATGGGGCACTTTCCATGCACGTGTTGCATAAATATATTTGTGAGAGAGCGCTTGAAAAGGACCGGATCCACGGTCGAAACGTAGCGTTGTAAATCAATAAAATTTGGCCAGTTGGGTCGCTCGCAATATCTCTGTTAATTTTAATTATTCACTGGCGACTCAAATTCTCTAATACTGTATCCAAATTGTGTCAGCTAGGTGAAAACAGGTAGACCGCATTCTCGGAGTACCGACGAAGGATGCAGTATTGAGCTGAGCGCTCCTTCACTCTCGCTCGACAATTGACACACTAACTTCTTTTATAGCCGATGCATACCGACAAAGCTATATAGAGCTGAGAAATAAAACTGAGAAGCAATTTTTAACAAAGCGCGACGATACGAGAAACAAAATGCATGTAGCATACGTACAATTGTTTGACAATCTGGCTACGACAATATTATTCAACCGTGAAGACTTTTTATTGTCGGTAATAATTCTTTGTCCTAGTTATGTGTGCCGAGTAATGCAGACGTCTTTATTTTAAATATAAACGACAGCGGCATTATTGTGCTGCATTAGGGCAGGATGTCATCAAATAGTAAAATGCAGAATATTCTACAGTTACTCATGAAAGATGTATCGTATTGCAACCGTTTCACTTGTGAATTCTAATAGTACGTAAAAGTATCATCTCATTTTTCACGCACAAGTATACATTTTTTTTTATACATTCTATAATCTAAAATAATATGCTCAAAAGAGCATCAAGTTGAGCTCTATGCTCCTTACTTTCTTTAGTTGATTTATTGATCGTCTGAACCTTCGATACTTAATTAATGCGAAAGATTCTTCTTCTCCATGCGGCTTAGATCTATATCATTCTCGGCGTTTGAAATAGGTCACAGCTCGTCGTTTGTTCCAACCATCGAGTCAGAACAAACCACCCGAAATTCTCGAAGGGCGTTATGAAACACAGGGGAGAAAGAGAGGGAGGGGGAAGAACTTTTCGGTATTTCGTACCTATTGTTCCCGTGCGAAAAGGCGACGATCGTCCCGGAATTGGCCTCCTCTTGGCGCAGCGCGGCAGCTATAGTAAATTCCGGAACCCGCCGGAGTAATGCGGCCGCCCGTTCGAAGTTCTCCTCGTTCAGTCGGAGCTCCCTCTCCTCGCCTGGAAGTAGTAAAACACGATGATCGGTGCGGCAAGATGGAATACGCGACTGACTGCGCTCTGTAGTTCTTGACTGTATATATTTTACACCGTTCTTTTCCTGCAGGAGTTCGTATCCAACATATATAACTTTTTGACGCTTTCTCAAGTTCTATTCTGTGACCCCAATCAGATATATTGAAGCGAAAACAGAAACAATAAAGATGTTATATATTGCTTATACCCTATTAGATATGTGTATGAGAATTTTGGGAAGTTAAATGCAATCTTGTCTTGTAGAAAGGCTTGTCGCATGCGGTGCTCGAAATCGATGCGGGGCTGATTTGAATTTTTAACCTGGCCGCTTCCAGGTAAGGTTAAACCGCCTTCCGGAAAGTGGTCCGCCTCGAATTTAGAGCACGGCGAACGACTATTATTTACGTGGCAATATTATGAGGGAAGATATGCTTCTCAGTCGTGCAGGGAAAGGAAGCGATATTGAAATTTAATAATACAATGATGAACTGAGCGAGTACATGTGGGTTCTAGAAGGTACTGCTTAAATCGGAGTTGCATATATTTGTAGCTACTGTTCATTCTAGAATTTATTGAGAAAGTGTGTGTGCGTTATTTAATATGTAATATATAGCGAGCGGTCAACGCTAAGAATTAATTATATAATATCTCTCTCTAAGCATGTATCTTTTAAATCTTCTTGGACAGAGGTATATAAAATACTGTTCAATATCCCTTATAGAAAATTAATACTGTAAGTGATTTTTTGGCTAGTAATTAATCACTTAAAAACACTATTAAAAGCACTGTTATATAATAGTGCTTTTAATAGTGCTTTTAAATGATTAATCACTAGCCAAAAAATCACTTACATTAGTATTAAATTTCTATAAGGGATTACTAATATTCTTTTTAACTTAATGTTAATGTGTTTCTCATGAAATTAAAATGTTCATCAGATATTGTGCAATGAATAGTAATAATATGTATGAATATATATATATATTCATATATATATATATATATATATATTCAATTAATTATTCAGTCTGCCTTTAAAAAAAATATAGATATTATACTGAGTACTAAATTTCTTTGGTACACGTTTTTTCACATAAATGAGAAAATTTTACGAGAACTATAACTTCCTATCATGTTGCACTATATTTTCTTTAGTGCCTGTAAGCGAAGAAATAAACAGCAAAAGAATTCCACCCACGAAGTTGTTGTGAAATAACAACACTTTTAATGTTACATAAAACATCATACGTTATAGCGGAACAGACGAATCGCCTGCTGACTGCAGTAATGCGAGAACTGGACTATCGACTCGTCGACAGAGATTATAGCATAGCGATGTAGGCCACCCCGAATTTTTGGAGGGTAGTTGGAGATTCTTTGCGCACCCGTTACGTAATCGTATTGACGTGAAATTCTATTGTTCGCAATTTTCATAGTCCTGTTTACGAAAACACGTTTAACGAAATGAATGATCGAATAACAAAATCATTTAAAAAAGCGGGATATTCTATAAATAATTGCCTGTTTAAAAGTCAGCGCTTTTTTTATTTTATTATAAGGAACATTAAGATCAACGTAATTTAATTATAATTATAAATGAGAACACCACAAACTTATAAAATATTTTATTTGTCATAAATATATGTAACTTCGGTTTCAAAACCAAAAACAAAAGTTAAAAAAAAATGACATTATATTTAATGAAAAGGCATTAGAAATAATCTAAAGTTTAATAGGTGTTGTCTAAGTGTCCTATTTCGTGGATAAAAAATCATTTTAATGTTCTATCATTATCACCAAGCTCGCAATGTGCAAATCGATCATAGCCATACTTTGTGGATATTCAATTAACACGTCGCGTCCGAATGGTTACTGCTTGTCCGAGTAGCTATCCATTAGACAGATTAATACGGCCATTTGGCAAATTACACCGCAACTAAGCCACTGTAATCGACAATCCTACTGTCCGTCTATCGCGGCTTCAATATCATTGTCATTAAGCTCGTGTAATGTGTCACGTACAAACGAGAAATCCCGCAGCTGTGCACACACAATCAGAGGATGAATATAATAGGAAATGGTTTATCTTTCGGAATTGTGGGTTTTTAAATTTTCTAAATTCATCTCTTTCTCTTTAAATTTAATTGCATCCACGCGTACGATGTTAAGCCTAACAATTAAACTTTCAATCTCACTGTCGTCGGTTTACCGAATAAATCAAGATTTAAATTACAATTAAAAAAATAATTAGCCCGTTTCTCTTATTATATTCGTAAAAAAAAATAATTTTTCTCGAGATTTTTGCGTTTACTTTCTTGATGAAGGTTTAATGGCTCATGGCTCAGTTTTAACGCAGCGATGCTTGGTTTCCTTCACGAGAAGGAGCTGTCCAAATAAGGGACACCTCATTACACGACTGCCGCGTGCAAAATGCAACGGACTGCCGCTGGCTGGCTTCTCGCGGCGCAAAGTGCGCTTCGAATTTCAGATGCGGCGCCGGTGTGTACAGAGTAACGGGATACCCCGACCGATAATAAAACGTCGGTGCCTTTCTGCCCGTGGGTCTTGCCACCTACGACGACGGACCGAGGGGCCGTCGATCCGCGGCTACAACGTCGTCGAGCAATTACGTACGCGCAACGCTTAATTATAATGTAATACCACCGGCCTGGGTGAGCGGAGGAGAAAGGTTAGGCCGATCAGCGAGAAAACAGCCCCTACCGGGCGCTGCTCGTTCGCCTCGAAGGGAATTGTTCCGCGCGAATTGGCACGCACGAGCCAACCCTTGCACTCGAGCTGACACGGGCAGAAACCATAATTTGACTGTGAAATTTTGTTTTCGCTACGCGAAGACTGGCTGCAGTTTCGTGCAGCGGAAAAATGATCGTTTCCTGTAGGGTAGTTAGCCAGGGTTAACGTTATTTACCCTTCATGTATTAGCGCATTGCGGAAATAAGGAAAGCATTCGAAATGTTTACAAAGAACTAAAAAGTCTCTTGTTTCCGATTTCGATGAAACTTGACAGATTCGAAGAGCAAAACAATTTTAACGTTTTTTTGTTGCTGAAATTTAAATTGCGCTATTATAACGTTAAGATATATATTTTGCATTAATAAATTAAAAATGAATTTTTATCTTTAATAGATATTATTTGCATGTGCGCAATGAAACTTTTATATTATTATTACTATTGTAGTATAATAATATCATTCCTTTACAAGTCGGAACAACTTATAAAATTTACAAGCAATCGATAGACATCGTCTAAACGCGACAACGCAAAGCTTGCGTGTCTCGATCTGATCAATTTATGATAGCGTTGTAAAATATTTATAAAACGATTAAATCTCTCTCTTTTTCTTTCTCTCTGTCGACATCTATGTTCTATGACTCCATCGCGAGAATTGAATAAGCATCAAAAGGAAATATTTATTGCTGATATGAAACATCACCTTATTCCGGATATCACAAAGAATAGTCAAAGAAACTCTGTGAGTGGTGACAAATAAAATATAAATATTCGTGTCAGAAAGAGAATTTCGTGGTTTCCTCAATCGAATCGCCGAAATCATCAGATCGTCCTACCCCCTTATCCAAGCATAAAGGAGGGTCGCTAGATCCCATTTTCCAAATTCAGAGAAAACTCCGACACGTGTCGCTGTATATCATTCTAGTCCTTTGTCCTGCGGCGAATGCTCTTGTTAAGATCCAACGGTTCATATGAGATAAATCTAATCTCAAAGAAGTTCCTATTCCCTGTGTGTCCATCCAGAATGATCGAAATGGGGTGAGAGGCTTAACTGGGAAAGCATGCCGCAGCGAAAGATAAAGATGTTACAGGGAATGGGGCGAATATTTCTTCATTGCTATCGCGGCTTGTTTTCGATAGATAAAATTATGAAATTTCTTTAGAAACTTGGTACTGTTTGCAATAAATCGATTTTTAATTGTGGATTTTAAAATTAAACTAATATTGCAATTTTGAGTCTAATTTTGTAAAAGTTTATTGATTGTGTTATTAATATAATAGTATGATTGCTTTTGAAGCAATTCAGTTAAAGTACAAGAAGATACAAATAGCTTTGCTTTTAATCTCGGCAGGATGCTTTTAATTCCTATCAAGAGATAAATCTCATCTCGTTCATTAACTGAAGAGTTCAGTCATCAAACTGTGATATAAATATTCGTCATTCGTCGCTCGTCATCTTTCGAATCAGATAACGAGAATTCGATGAAATTAAAACAAACGGCATGGGCATAAGAAAGAAACTATATTACGATTACATCTGGTATCCCTCTAATATGAGGGGGAAAACGTGCGTGCGAGAGCGAACGGAGAGAGGCGACAGAGGGAGAGTAGGATCAGGAGCGTCAAAAACTCGCAGACGATATGAGGAACAAAAAAGGATTCCCCCCCTTTATACATTCCCGATGTTGCGAACCACGAAGAGCCTTTGCCTAACTTCCACGAAAGCGTTTCTATGAGGGTGCAACTCGAAGAAGGGCGTCGGTGTAATTGAAATTTCTTTCGGGGAAACCCTATACTCCCGCGGCACGACTTCAACTTCCCTCCCTCTTCCCGCTCCCAAGTCCGCTTTCCGCGGCCGTTGCACTGCCGCCCACACATCCACGTGGCTTGGACATCACCCGCCGCCGAAGGGCGCGGGGATGCCCCGATATAATTGGATACACCATGTTACGGGGTTGAATAGACGACGTGCTCGTCGATGTGAAGGGTCGCCCATTTAACAGGAACATCGTTTAACTCTTTCGCGAGCGCGATCAGTTTCAAAAAGCATGTACACATGCCGCGTCACGTGCAAAAGTAACGGATAAAAAAACTAACAATGGTTGAATAATTGTTGTTTATATTATATGTCAGTCGTATTATTCTAAAATAAAATAAATGCTAGATATTCATCGGCTGTCGAAAGTATTCTGAAACGAGTAACTTCCTGAAATTCGAGAGAACAATCGATATACTCGTCATAGGGGAATACCCTCTTGGCGTCTGCGAGCGGAGACGACGCGTAGGCGGTGCTATCAAACTGACCTTTCGCAATATCGATTAATCGCACGTTGCATAACCAGCATCGTGTAATGAGAGGCAAATGCATCCATCAAGAGGCAACGTAGCCTGCTTGTCGTTCAATTTTTGTTCGTCATTTTTCAAGCAACTAATTTTGGAACAGGATTCTCCGTTGAATTGCAAATTAATCGTAAATTTTATGCAATTCGTTACAGTACTACATGGCATTAAATTAAGAAAATGCACAAAATCTAACAAGAAATTATAGATATAAATATATATTCCACATTTTGTGAATTGTTGCAAAATGCATAAACTGTTTTCTAAATATCATAATTTCGTAGTATAAAACGTGATGCCATTATTTATGATATCAAATCACGAAAATTTCTATGAATTCTTATTTCAAGATAATTTGGTTTGTACTTTATTTTCTTTTATGCCGTCGTTCTCAACTTAATTCCTGGGGTGGATTTCGTGGCACGGAGATAAGTTTCGTGGGTTATAACTCAAAGAACGCAAACATCGTCTTTATACGAGACATAATAATTGCAATGTGTGCTACACGGAGGAGCGAGAGGAGAATCGCTCGCGTAAAGAACGCCTCGGCGATATGCAAATTAAGAGAGTATTCAGGTTAAGAGAGCATTACCGAAGTGGCAGCTTCGTGTACGAGCCACGATTTATTGCGTAATATATATTATAGCTCCGAGGGGGTGTGAATCAAGTAAGTAAAAGGTTTTATTTCCTCTTATATCTGTAGCAATACGAGCGTGACTGCAAAGCTTACTATTTCGATTATGTTTTGCAAATATTAAAAAATTTGTAAGATAAATTTTTAAAATTGCATCCCTTCTAAGGCAAATTCCTGTCGAAAAATTAAATTGTCTGCGGGAAATTCAATTAGAATCCGTAGAAAAGAAACATGTGATGTTTGATTATTGATTGATTCTTTTCTACATTTAAGATTAAAATCGCTATCTCGCGATGTCCGAGAATTTTTTTTAACATCATGCAGACGATGATTAAAGATTTTGAGAATATCTCGAATAAAAAGTCGAGCCGGGCCGAAAATACCGAACAAAGTTGACTCACCCTGAAGATAATAGGCTGGTCTCAGTCTAACCAGACCCGGCACCTGCGTAACGCCCTGTCGAGTAGTATTGTGAAGCTGTAGAGCTGTTAATAGATCTATACCTCCTCCAGGGTCGCTCCCTGTCCTTGTTCTCGTGCCGAGGACTATGTTAGGTCCTTCTGTGACCGAAGATACCGCCGTCTCTTCCTCTTTCTTATTCGTCGTTCCAGACACTGAAACAGTCAATTTAAGACATCTGTTATAACAATCGTTTGATTATTGTTATATCACTGCTACGCAAAAACGTTAATGACACGACAGTGACGACAGTCAATTATATCAAAGATGACAATTCTATCCCACTTCTAAGAATTCCGCATTCATGTTATGTAAATCGAGCAACATCATATTGTTTCGATCCAATATGCAAAATTTATCTCTGCGTGATAAAAGGACTTCGAATTTGTTTTGTTCATCGGACAATTATTCATTTTTCTTCTTTTCTCTCAACTATTCGATTTCGGTTACATTCGTTAGCAAGGAAAAGTCCCCCATCAGTAGAGTTAATTTCCCGATGAAATTACAACTAATCTTTCATCAGATCAAATCAAAAAGACGAGGAAAAGGAAGAAGAAGAAAAGAAGAAGGAGAAGAAAACGATCATAGATGACGTAGACTTCTCGAAATGGTGGTATTGATCGACTCTTCACAGCGTCGCTCGTTATCGGCGTTTCCGTGCTTTTCCCCGTTCCATGAAGCCTTCAACCCCTTCCGCGAAACCGTCCGCCCCGTAAACAGCCTGTTTTATCTATCGCATCTCTCTCTCTTTCTCTCTCTGTATAAGTGAAATCCATTCCGCCTCTGTCGCGCCGACTTCACGTTGATAATGATTGAAGTCCCGTGAAAAAAAGTTTGCCGGTCTGTCCGTTTTGGGCGGACAACCCCTGGCTGCTACTTTCGCGATGAGCGACAACCCTTGTTCAGTTACGTGAGACACACGGTCGCCACGAAAACCTGCTCTTCCCTTCTGACAAAAACTGATTGGTGGAAAGTCGAAAGAGGACGTTAATGGATAAGATGTGTAGAACTGATACGACGAAGGCGGATATTTATAATGAGGTATCCTATATATGTTGATAGAAAACAAAAAATTCTTTTAAATCTTCTTTTAAATCTGATTCTTTCAAATGTTTTTAAATCGTTTAAATTTTTTAAAAATAATATCTAATATAAATCTTTCATTCTTTTACAAGATTCATTACTCTGAAAAATTCATTTTCTTAACATTCTTTTCATAAAGAATTCGAATACATTCGTGAATGAAATTTTATTCTGAGGTTGCAAAAATCACTATTTCTACAACGTAAAATAATTGTGAGATATTTCTATTTTATAGTTTTATAACTTATTTAGCTTAATTCGACTAAAGTATAGCAGTATAATTAAATCTAATAGATAAATTGTTGGCTTGGCTGTATGCACTAGTATAAAATCAATTAAACATTAATAATGACGAAGATGTGAATACTTTTTCCGATATCGAATGTGATCCGATTACAACTTTTTCTAATGATTTAAAAATTAAGAACTTTTGTCCCTTCTGGATGATAGAAATGAATTAATAAAATAACGATGTCAGAGAAATCGGCAATGAGGGTTTTTCAATCGATTGCATTCGTAATAATATCGAAGACAAAGATAAGTAGATATGCGGAGGAAAACGCGAAGTTAATAAATCAGAACATAAACAGTGTTGGCAACATTCACCGCCAACAGGAAGGCGTGCGTCCAAGAGTACGATTTGTTTAAATGCAGTCACCGAAATCTAGAATGATATTTTTAGCCCGCGTTAAGAAAACACCAGGCAGGTGTCTGTAAGCAGGTTCACCGCCGATCATTTCGCGTCCTCAAAGTTTATTTACGCACATATGCTCCTCTTTGAACACCACGAGATTCACACATCGCTAGGCAAACACATCAAACTAATGTTCCTTTACATCATAAACGATAGACCCAATTTCTTACGAAAATAATCTGATAATACATGTTCCTACTCTTTGATTGACCTTTGATAAACCTTCTTAAGAGAGACATAATAATTATGCCTAATGATAATAATGCTTAAATTGAATAAAATATTTCCGTGCAAAAATAAACGAAATGTTTGATTAATTTAACAATTATATTTTACGAATCTTTTAATCAATACCATGGCTAGAGCTCATATTATTATACTTTATGTAAATATAGAATTATATAAAAATTTCATGTAATACCTACAGATTTAAGGGAAGTACATAACACGATTGATTATTGCAATGAGTACGGAACTTCCATTTGTAGATATTGTCTTTGTTACATTTCGAAGGACTATTATTGACTATTTTTCCTATCTAATATAATAACAACAATTGAATAGAAGTGGAAATTAAATTGTATATTTGTTTTTTTATTAAAAATTTTTTTATTTTTTATGTAGCTGGAAATAGAATAATTTATAGTCATATGATATTATATTATAAGTATTTTTGTCATATTATCATTTTTTTTTATTTTCATTGTATTTCGAGTTAATAGAATATTTATGAAATATCTCTTTCTCTAGAGTAATATAATAGCACTGATAAAATTGCCATCTGTAACTTTCTATTAACCGAAACTGAAAATGGTGGCGCCTATGTGACTCGTTACACAAGAGATTTCGTCGGTACTAGAAAACGCGTAAGCGTCTTCTAAGACGGGATGACGTTGGGTGAAGGATGGACGGAACAGTGGCAGACTGCCGGGCGTCGCGACGCCCGGTATCGAACCGTACGCGGCATTATCGTCAAATTCGCGAGAGGGAGAGCGAAAGAGTAAGAGAGAACACGTGACACGTGGTGTCTCTCCTGGCACGACCGTCACCGTTACATTTCTGGCATTCATAACGACTGCTACGATTACATCGATAAGTAAGTACGTCAGAGTCGAGCGACATCATCGTTCTCATCGTAAATAAAAGTTTAATTAATTTATAAAATTATACCTTTACGCTATATGTGTCGGATCACATTACACAATATAAAAATTAAATTACCGTTCTATATAAATATCTATAATTCAAAAGGATGAAAATTTAATAATTTAATAATTTATAACATTTACGTAAGAAATATAATTCGAAATGTTGATAACTCTATCGAGATATCGAGCTGGCAATTACTGAAATTATGTTTTCATTTTTGTACGTTCGTGTTTCGCTTAATAACTCATGCCGAAGAGCAATCCTATCTCTGTTACCGATCACACCCATTCGACATCAAGTCGTTAAATCGCACACCGGCTGATCGTCGCATGACCGTGTCTTTCATTCACGGCGACGATGAAGCGAGGCGGTACCGAATGCCAGAGACTGTGTGTGCTCGCTCGCGAATCGATAACACGCGACGGTCAAGCCGCGCGGAAACCAACCCGTCCTCGTACACGGCACACGACTCATCGATCGACACCTTCCGTTCCTCCGCGACCTCCGGTCCCCCTTGGCACGAGTCTCGCGGTCGGCTCCTTGAGGGGGTCGCAGCCCCCGGAAGCCCGGAAGCCCGGAACCGGGGAGACAGACCGGGGAACACCGAAACGCGCGGCGATGAATTTCGTCAGATACGCACGAGCGCACATTATCGAGATGTTCGTTCTTCCATGCTTTCCGCGTTATAAGACTTGGCAAACTTTTTCACCCTGAAAACATTGCCGCCGGAATTTTTGTGTAACGACAGGATCTCCTTGCTTCTTTAACTCTCGAACAGGAAACGAGTTTTATCAGTGACAAGTAATAAAATATAGAATTTATAGTTATGTTAAAATTGTTATAAACTTCTTTTTATGTCTTGTTTAAATTGATCAATTGATTAATTAATAAGAATGTTAGCAACAAAATAATAATAGTAAAGCTGCGATTATTTTATAAATAATTATTTTAAAACAATTGTTGAAGTAGAGTTTAATACATAAATATGATAAAAATTTAATTCGTAAGTATGATAATATGATTTTGATAAATTAGAAATTATGTTATTATATATATCTTGAAGTTATTAGATGGAAGTACTCACGTTTGGAGACATCTTCGTGTTTGTCAAACTTTCCTATCTTTAACTGTCCCGTTACTATTGTCACAAGAATAAGAAAACACCAAGATGACACTGTTCTTCTCAACGCGAGAGACGACATAGTTATTTTATAATCACATGACGATTGTTCGCTCACTCTCTTTAGCTTTTTATTATATATTACTCGTTACATATTTGATGTAATTCGAAATAAATACTTAATACTGTCCGTGCTCTCTGCGCTTATGTTAAAGCGAAAGACATAACAAAAGAAATTGACAAAGGTATAACAAATTCCGTTGAGATCCAGCTCGTCCATTATTTTCACGACCCCATTCTGTCCACCGGCCACCTCAGAACATCAATGATATACACCGTGTGTCGCTCATCGCGACAAACCGTGATCGATCGCCGGCGAAATCTGGCCTTTGCTGCACCATCGAGGTAGTTCACGATCGACTGACTTCGGCATCGGGGGGGGGGGGGGGGTGGATTCTTCGATCGCAGGCCAGAAATCGCCTGGCCAGCCGGACAACGGTATTTCGCAGCGTCAGCGTAAAAAAGCGACGTCTGGTCTCGCACACGAGCCGTCGCCATGCGATGCGACGCGGACGTCCGCCGCGTGTTCGATTTTCCCGGCAGTGGATCGTCGAATTTTGCCAGTGCGATAATACGGCGGCCGCCGCCACCTCGCGCGTGCTCATTCGATCATCAAACGGTCAAGGTCGCGGCTCTAGTTGGTCGACGACTCGCCTCACGCTAGAGTTGCCCCTCTTCCCTCGATATTTTTCTTTTTTTTTTCACGTCGCGGAGAAAAGCGAGAGTGAGAAAGAATCTTACGAGAAAAGCAGATAAGAATTTCCGCTCGAATAACTTTTTTTTTTTCAAAATCTCGATTATTTTAAAAATATATTTGCTTTCTAATTTAAAATCGCAGTTCGATGCGTATAATTTGTTTTCCGATATTATAGTTTTGCGATATGTTTCACACGCGACGGTTGATTAGTCGTGAAACAATGCAGCGCGTTGCGATCGGTGTTTCCGCGTAATTCAATTTTGCATTAAATCTAATTGCACTCGCGGCATCCGTTTTGATGCGAAACGCCCGCGGTTACGGCCGCGGCGTCGTCGACAAGGCCGCCTCTAATGAGAGCAATCTGCAGTAATCGCTTTTGCAGCCTCATAAAAGCCGCAACGAATCACCCAAAGGCCAATTTCTCCCTCGATCACCGATGCTCTTGCACCGCGGCTGTTCGATTGATGCATTTACACAGAAACATTTACATAGAAACAAGAAACAACTGTCATGATTCATCGCACGATTGTTGCCCGATATAATCCATTTTTATACGTAATATATTATAAACTGGAAAATAGTTTTCTACGATACGTGCAAAAAGAATCTCACCACGATTGTGTGGGAAAGAAAAATATTTTGAATTATAGATTAAGTAGAAACGCAATGAAATTCTCAGGACGTATTACAATGCATTCCCAGAAGAAAGCACGCAACATTATGCATGCAGGTATAACTTGGCATAAGCTCATCTATGCTTGTCTGATACTCAATATTTCAACGGCTGAGGAATCTGTCACACGTCTATCCAATATAGCGCATATATCTAGCAATATCAAGTACGTACGGGGGTACATGAACATGTCATACGTCTGTCAAGCTGAACGGTATAAGAATATAGTCTTGGAGAATCCAATATTTACGTTTCGAGCTGCACGCGTTTAAAGCTAATTATTGAATTATCTAGGGTCTAATATATTTCGCGGTTGAAAACATTGTTCGATCTTAATTCTATATTCGACGTTTGATAGAAGGGAGAGTAATTCACGTGACGCAATGCGGATGCTGGGTATACAGATCTGAGCTTGCGGCTCAGATTATACGATTGTGTAATGAAATTTATACGGCAGATTATATACAGGGCAGGATAAATGCGAAGCGTAACATGGCGAGCATCCACTATGAAGGGGAGGCCTAATCCTCTATTACGACGCGCACACACACACACACACACACACACACGACTCCTTTATTAATACGGCTGCCATAACGTCGGCCATAACGACCGAATAGCAGAATATTATAAATAAACCAATATAGCGCATGGATTTTATTATCATACAAATTGCCACCCAACAGGCGCTGAAGACACAACGATTCGCCATGTTGACCTAATCGCTGTGCGACAACGCAATCACTATATCTGTGCACGTTACCGCACCGTATATGCACCATATAACGTTACATACAAAAGGGAAATTAACATAAAATTTTTATTCAAAATTAACAAATGTTTATATTGAGTACCATTTAATTTCTTAAGAATTTAATTAATAAGAGAGACAGTATTTTATTAATCGAATCTGCTTTTCTACTTTTGAGAACTTTTAAAGAAATTCAGATGCATTTTTCCTACGATACTCAAGTGCATCTCCCTGGTACCAAAAGGTTACCAAAGGCTGAAAAGGTGACAAAGGGGATTACCACTATCGCGTTATGCATACACACATCGACGAGAGGCAGCTCGGAGCTACCTTGGCTCAAATAATCTCGGCATTGAGATCCCGATGAGATAAAGCTCGCGCGACTAGATAAGGGCGTAATGGGGAAACTATGCGAAGAATCCATTAGTTCTACGTTCGCGCCGCGAACAATGGTGTTAACGCGCTGCGTCAATGTTTGACGCTCCGGCTGGCTCCCTTGTCTAAACGAGATTAGGCTATTTTCCACGCTCTCTCGCGTGGACATCCCCAGTCAGTCAGGTGCCGCGACTCAGTGCGGCGCGAGGATATCTAAATCCGCCCCGTTCTATTCTTAATAGAGGTGCCGCCGCGATTCTCTCCACTTCTCCTGCTCGATCGGCTTCGTTCGAGCGGGGGAATTCGGTTCTTTATGGCGGCATCGAAGGCCCATTCTCTAAGGAAAACCCACGCACGACATTGACTCGTTTTTCTTCTGGCGCTGTCCAATTTTAATGGGACAATGCTTTTATGCAGAAGCATCATCCCATGCAACATCTTCACGTAAAAGACATGACATCACGCGATATTCGTCTAGTTCAATATGCTATGCTAAAATTTAACAGGCAGTTGATAATTTTATTTATTTGATATCGCGAACGAATAATATTCTGTATTTTAAATCAAAGTATTTATACAGCATTGATAGAGGAATATAGCTAGCGCTGTTTGCGTCGTAAACATTCAAAAATCGGAAGAAAAATATCAATATTTTAGTACGGTGGAGAAATAATGCATGCATCTCTATCGAATTACTCGATCAGCAATTGAACACGCGTCACGGAATGATTCATTCGTGTAAACAGGTGAGATATGAAATCATAATTTGGAATCTCGCGTTATTTTTACGCGCGTCAGTTCTTAACGCGTTAAAATATTTAAGCGCCAATCGCGAAACGCGGAGCAACCGAACAATTTACGTTCCATCGCAAAACCATCTCGTGTATGTCGGCTATTGATCGAGCTCATCGAGCCAGAGATATTTATTGGTATATTCACAGATATTTTCCATTATCGATAAATGCATTAGTAAGTAATTTTACGTATTCGAGAATTGATACGACAATATTATTGCAATTAATTCTTTAAGTTTTTTAGAATAGCTAATCTCCGAAATTCATAAAAAAAAATGTGTCGTTAAACGTTAATGTAATGCAGCGTTTTTGTATAATAAATTATATATATATCGTTAATATGTTTAAAAATTCATCAATTAAATGGTTTTATCTCAATATCGTCGACTGTCATATTCCAGTCACGTATATCTACTTAGCTAGATAAGCTTAAGGAATCGAAACTCGATGAGGATTATGTATCATGGAGGCGACCCCTTTAATCCTTGCTTAATTAAAGGGATGGTCGCGAGGCAACGGCTGTATAATTCGCTTATATCACTTCTCGATTCCGGCGGTGAAGGACAGTAACCCCGTGTTGTTTAATTCCGACGATTTTTCTCCAATCTGATCATCGAATTACGCGATAAAAATAAAGACGAAAATAACTATGAGAAATCAGAGCGCCGGTTTGTTTACATGTGCAATTTATACGCGAAATTTGCTGGAAATTTTCTATAGATGTCTTAAAGGTCACGAACTTAATGCTATTAATTTATATGTGTAATGACCGGCAGTAACGAAGCATTATGAAAGTTACGGAAGTAAGAAATGATTATAGGGGAGAGTTGGATATTACCGAACCCCTAAGAACTGAAGCGTATATCTAAGCTCAGAAATGCTTCAAAAAAAAACAAGATGCGCAGTTTTAGATAGGTAATTTATTTGGCTATCCATATATCATAGCAATAATCTTGAAAGTTAAACACAAACTGAAATATTAATAATTTTCCAAAAAATGAGAAAACGCGGTATTATCAAACTGGTCTGATAAAATCGTGCCCAGTTTAATAAAACCGTGCCTATAAAAATTACTCTGGCTTCAGCCAGCGACATGAAGTAGAACACAATAACAAAATGTTTTTTTATATTTATGCATTAATATCGCCTGGTATAGGTACCTACATATAAAAATAAGTAAATGTGTTAACAAATAACGATCATTATAAATTCAAATCAAAACCTAAGCAATAACGATCTTTTCTGTAACCATCTTACATTGTAAACTAAACAGTCTTGGTAACTCTTAACACACAGTTATCGTTATACCTATGAGTATTATACCTTGGGCGTAATATTATCAAACTCAATTATTTCACTTTATAACCTTAAAATATATAGGAAAGAAACGCGTGTTTCTAAAATCACTTTGCAACCTAATTTTATAGTGTTTTAGCCTATCAAATCCGTCAAATTTATTTCTCTAATGTAAATATTATATTACTCACCTCTTATTGAAACTACCAGCAAAATTGCAACGAATAAGCAGAAAAGCTTCCAGAGCGCAGTGTCTTTACATGGACGGCCGGAACGAATTGACGGCGCATGCGGGTGGGGTATTTCGTGTTACTCTATGATATTAACATCATTGTAGGTGCGTTATACAAATAGTTACGCGCGGTAATATCCAACTCTCCCCTATTTCTAGTGATATTTGATGGCATAATTGAGGAATTAAATATATAACCAATTTACTCAGAATGTATATGAATTTAATAGCTTTTACAAATAATGATAATCGAATTCAAAGACTCTGTAAAGCGTCGCGCTATTATATTAATAACGCGACAAAGTGATACGCAACAAACATACAATGATTGTATAAACAGTTCAGCTTCTCCATCCGCAGAAATATATTCTAATTTAAAGGGAATAAAACGCAGGAGACGCATTTTCTGCTCCATTCCCGAAATAAC